CCTCAAGCGGGACCAGGGACAAACTGCAACTGAGGTACGTGCCCTTGGCGGGAACCGAACCCAAGTCTCTCTTGTCCACAGGCCAACGCTCCAACCGCTGAGCCAAACTGGCCAGGACTATCCATTCATCTGTTAATGTACATATGGGTTGTTCTCACTTTTTGGAGGCAAGAATATATTTTATTTAATTGCTTGTAGTTTGATTTTGTAATAATAATAATAATATATATGGAGCCACTTTATTTTTTTTTAAATGTTTTTATTGATTTTTTTAGAGAGAGAAGAAGGGAGAGAGAAATAGAAACATTGATGTGAGGGAGAAACATTGGTCAGCTGCCTCTTGCGCACCCCCCAATGGAGATCGAGCCTGAAGCCTGGGCATGTGCCCTGACCAAGCATCAAACCCGGATCTCTCAGTCCATGGGACGACACTCTATCCACTGAGCCACACCAGCTGGGCTAAATGGAGCCACTTTATTTTTTATTTTTATTTTTTTTATCCTCACCCGAGGATATTTTTCCATTTTTTGTACAGATAGAGTGGGAGGGAGAGAGAGGAAGGGAGAGAGAGAGAGAGAAACATCGATGTGAAGGGACACATCGAGTGGCTGCCACCCGCATGACCAACCAGGGCCGGGGACAAACGGCAACCGAAGTACGTGCTCTTAGCGGGAACCGAACCCGGGTCTCTCCGGACCGCAGGCCGACGCTCTAACCGCTGAGCCAAACTGGCCAGGGCAAAATGGAGCCACTTTAAAGTGAAGTCAGAGTTGCCACCCTAGAGGAAATGCCTTGCAATGTTTTTTCCTTCAAACCTTTGGAATGTTAGAACAGGGCAAAATAACCTTTGGACTGGGCCTAAAGCAACATTCTGCCCCAAAGAACTGTTTGCAAAGATAACAAGAAAGCTGATATATGACTACTGAACTAATGACTCTGGGACTGAAATTTTAAAACATTATTTAGAATTAACATCATTGTGTTAGCTCATCGGCACCAACAGAAATGCCTTTCTTTTATTACTGTAGTTTTTCACCTTCCCTTTCTCATAAATATCCCTTGCTTTTGTCTCCTAATCAGAACACTGGTTGGGTTCTGTCTGAATCAGTGCTTCCCAAATAGCTATTCTTGCCCTGGCTGTTTTGGTTCAGTGATTAGTATGTCGGCCCACGGACTGGAGAGACCCAGGTTTGGTTCCCAATAAGGGCATGTACCTTGGTTGCAGTTTGTCCCCGGCCCCATTAGGGTTGTGTGGGTGGCAGCCAGTCAATGTGTCTCTCTCATGTCGACACCCCCCCCCCCCACTCTATCTGAAGATAAATGCAAAAACATCCTCAGGTGAGGATAAAATAACAACAACAACAACAAAAAAAAACCAAATAGCTATTCTTTTGGGTCTCAAATAAATGCTTGTTGCCTCTCATTTTGGACTTTATTTTTAGGTTAACAATGTTAAACTGTTAACAATGTATATGTATAGTACATAGGTTTCCTTTTATACTCTTGTCATGGATTCCACATTGAGGCAAGACTGTTCTGTTTATAGTTGTGTCTGTCCGTCAATCTCAAACTCAACTGGGACATGCAAGTTTGATTTATTTCGCCCCGACCGGTTTGGCTCAGCTGTTAGAGCATCGGCCCGCGGACCAGAGAGTGTCTGGTTCGGTTCCCTCTAAGGGCATGTACCTTGATTGCAGTTTGTCTCTTGCCTCGGTTGGGGTCATGTGGGTGGCAACCAGTTGATGTGTCTCTCTCTGTCTCTCGCGTGATGTCTCTCTCTTCTTCCCTCTCTCCCTCCCGCTCTATCTGAAGATAAATGCAAAAATTTCCTCGGGTGAGGATAAAAAAAAAAGTGTGATGTATTTCTTCATTCCCAACATTGATATAGGCCTAGTATCATGCAATAATAATTCGTAAGCAACTGCTATGTGTCAGGCACTGTTCTAAACATGGAGGAGTTGGGTATAGAGGTGATTAAGACAAACCAAATATACTGTAATGTAGCTCAATTTCTAGTGGGGGGGAGATAGATAATATATAAATAAACAAATAAATAAAGGTGATTGCTGATAACTACAGTATAGGGTGAGTTACAAAAAACAGTATAGGGTAGAGTTATGGAGAAGGGCTGTGTGTGATGTAGGCTAGATGATCAGGGACCACTTGTCTGAAGAAGTGACATTGGAGCCCAGACTTAAACAGAAGCCAGTCATGTAATGAATCATTCCAGGAAGAAGGAAAAACAAGTGCAAAGGCTCTGAGGTGGGAATACAGTGGGTGATTTGAGGGAAGCATGAAGGCTGGAACAGAGGAGTGATCAAGGGAGAGAATGTTACAAGATGAGATATGAGAAGTGGGCAGAGCCTTTGAAATGGGGTAGGGAGTTTGAGTTTTTCTTCTAAGTTTGGTGGAGAGCCATTGGAGGAAGGTGAAATGGCTGGGACAAGAGTGAAGAAAAATGGATAAATTCAGAATATCTAACAGATCCAACAACAATCCAATCCAGATGGATTGAAGGGGGTGGTGGCTGAGAGAAAGAGAGAAATTGAGGCCGACACCTAGATTTTAGCCATGAAAACCAGAATGGATGAGTTGCCATACATAGTGAGTAGTAGAACTGGAAGAAACCGAGAGTTCAGTTTTGAAAGTGTTTAGTTTGACATATCTATTAGACTGGAGACTGTTAGCTATGAGTCCAAACCCTGGGGAGAAGTCAGAGCTAGAGATGTAAATTTGGGAGACATAAGCATAGAGATAGTGTTTAAAGCATGAGATTGGGATTTGTCAGGGTCCCAGTGCTGGCACGAAAGAGATTGTGTGCTCAAACTGAGTAATGGATGAGAACTTAATAGAGTCAGTTTACATAGGTGTAGGGAAACAATCAAGGCATTGTGCACACCCTGGGTTAGTAATAGCTAAGAGCTCTTACCACCCCTTGGCCTTGCAGAGAGGAAGAGAGAGAGAGAGAGAGAGAGAGAGAGAGAGAGAGAGAGAGAGAGCGCGCAGAGCTGCTACCTACAGTGGAGGGACACACCCAACTGCATCCAACTGAGAGCACATGGGATAAACATGCGAACTCACCTCTCCCCCATTAGTCAACCCCAATGGAAGCCAGAGGGGAAGGAAGTCTGTTGACACAAGTGAATAGAAGTCTGAAAAGGGGTGCTCTGGAGGTAGGAGTACAACCAGGGGAGAGTAGTGTCCCTGGAGACCAAGGAGCTAATGGAGATGAAGTTAGAGAGGAGCCAGTGGCTGGGACTGACAAATAGAGGTCATCAATGTCCATGGGTGGAGAAGGCTCAGTGGGATAGTGGGACCAAGAGCCAGGTGAGCATGGCTGGAGGAGGGCCAGAGGTGATAAAATGGAAAGGCCACTATAGAGACAACTCTTTTCAGAAGTACAGCTTTAAGCCTCATCGCCTCCCAAGAAAACAGACTTGGAGAAAACTGGTACCTTGCTCAGGTTATGAGTGAATGGAACCCAGGTGGGCCCAATTCCAATTAGGCCAAATAGGGTCAGAGGGAAGAGAGCAGCAGTTTGAGATTGTGACCCAGGAGAGAGCTGGATGAGAGGGTGGAAAGAGAGGGGAGTTACCAGGGAAGGCAGAGAGTTGGGGAAAGGAATGGTCAGAGAGTGGTTTATTGGGGGTTTTTGAGGCTTTGTAGCCCCGCCACATTCTCTAGGTAATTATAGCTTTCTTCCTAGTTACCCTAGAATGGTCAGGGCAGGAGGATGGATTTGGAGGGAAGAGGGTGAACAATGTCCCCGGGAGTGGGTCCCTCAGGGGGAGAGCCAGGATCTGGCCCCAGCTTCAGGGAGCTGCTACCTCCTGCAAGCCTGGATCTCTCTCTGGGCCCTGCCAGCTGTCCGAGCCCAAGGTGACTACCTTTCAAACGCAGTCACTCTGTTGAACCCTGGGTGCTCTGTGTCTGTCCCTCCCTCTTCCCTCAGTCTGGGTATATGCACTTGGCGGAGGACGCTTTGAGGCTTTTCTGGGAGAGAGTGAAGGGAAGAGGCCTCTGTGCTTGGTGCGAGTGGCCACCGCTGGGAGCCTCGCTGAGCCCAGGAACTTGTCGCCCATGCTCCTGGCGCCCCCTCCAGCCCAAGCTGTGTGCCACAGGGGTGGAATGTGGATGGACAGCCCAGAGGCCAGGGGCGTCGCTGCCTTCTGGCACTGGCTGGGCGGGGCAGGCAAGGCCCCAGAACGACGTCTTCCGAGGATACCCCCACCAGATGGCCAGTGGTTCAGAGGCCCAGTCCGGCGCATGGCTGGGGCTACGCCTCCAGGCAATACCAGGAACATGGAGATGAAAGGTGCCAGGGTGTTGCCCAGTGTGTGAAACAGCACCCAAACTGCCCTTCCCCCCAGCAGTGGACAGAGTCTAGGAAAGCCCGGTGCCCTGAGCTGACCCAAAAGCCGGCAGTGGACAAATTCCGGTGCCCCGCGGAGGTGCTCCAGGCTCGAGGGCGGGGCTAGAGTCCTTCGGGCAGGTGCAGGGGGCGGTGCCCTGCCCTGCCCCGGGGGCTGTTCTTGGAGGCCAGAGGCGGGTCAGAGAAACGGCCGGTGCGGGCGACGCCCTGGAACCCGCGGGTGGCGACTGCGGCCACAGGTACCGCGCAGGGCACTGTGTCCCAGCTGTGGGCATCAAAACTCTGGCGCTGGATACTCAGGCTTCCGAACTGCTCTCAACTCTGCACACCGAGGTCCCCAGGCCAGAGAGTGGAGACCTGGGGTCGCCCAAAAAGCAGGACCCAGAGCCCCTGGGGTCATACAGAGAAATCCCTGGGTCTGTCGCAGGGCAGGTCACCGCGGTCCTCAGGCCAGGCGGCGAGGTCCCCGTGCCCTCTGCAGAGCAGGACACGGAGAGCCCCGAGCAAGATAACGAAGTGCTCAAGCCATCAGCGAGGAAGAACGCAGAGCCCCCAGGCCGTGCCCACCTGGGAGCTTTAAGACTCCTGGGTCAGGCAGCGACGACTAGGAGCCATCCGAAGCGCGAAGAGCCAGGACCCCGGGGCAGTGTCCCCCTCAGGGTCCCAGACCTCTTCCTCTGGGTCAGACTTGGAAGCCCCAGCTTCGTTTTCTACTGCGCCCTGAGACCCAACCTGCAACAGCCCCCGGAATAGCCTCTCATGGAGACGCCCATCGAGCGCGAAATCCGCCGCAGCTGCGAACGCGAGGAGAGCCTGCGCCGGAGCCGGGGCCTGAGCCCTGGTAGCGCGGGCCGCGAACTCGTTGAGCTGCGCTTGCGGCCGGTGCTCAGCCTGCCAGGCCCCGGCCCCGCGCTCTCGCGTGCCTTGGAGCGCGCGCGGGCGGGCGCGCAGATGCAGCGAGACATCGAGCGGGAGTCTCACCGGCAGGCGGCGCTAGCGCGTCCCCCGACCCCGGAGCCGTGCACCCGGCCGCCTCCGCAGGCGCTGGGCGAGCTCAAGCGCTTCTTTGAGGCCGCGGGTGGGTGCGGCTACTCACCGGCAGCGGAGGGCGGCACGGGCACGCAGTGGTTGCTGGAGCCCGGAAGCCGGCCGCGTTCGGCCGTGCAGGGCCGGTGCCCGGTACTGGCCCGCGCCCCGCCGCCCATGGCGCCGTCGCTGCTGGAGCAGGAGGTGCGCGAGGCACAGGAGCGCGAGCGGGAGCTGCAGCGCCAGAGGCTTAATGTCTATGGCACCGCCGAGGTCAAGGAGCCCGAGCCGAGCCTAATGGGTAAGCTACCCGCGCCGGGGCTCCACAGCCGCTCACACAGACTGCCCAACTCCAGTGGCCCCTCTTCTGGCCCTCTGGGGTTTCCCCTCTGGTTCCCAGATACCTGGGACTCGCTCTAAGCTTTCCATTCCCTTCTGCGCTGCCCACTCTCTGTGCTTCACTCCCTACTCAGAGTGGTCAACTCCCAGGTACACCTCACCTAGACTCGTGGTGGGGGAAAGGAGGATTCCAGATGTCTTTCTCTTTGTTGGGTCCCAGGGAACCCTGCCTTGGTTCTGCCACTCCTGGATCGTCCTGAATTTTCGGGTTCCTCCCTCCCCACACTGGGTTTGCTTCCCTCCTCCCTTAGAATGGAGCTTCCCGGGGACGATGTGTATGTGTGTGTATGTGAACGCCTATGTGTGTTTAAGGGGTGCGGCCTGCCTCCTTTGTCCTGGCTGTCTCCAGCTGGTGAGAGGAGGAGCCACACCGGGTGAGTGCCCCTTTCTTCGCAGCATTCAGGAGCGATGGAAAGCTGGCGGTGATCTGGCCTCCTCGCAGAAAGGCTTCGGAGAACGGTCTGGAGCAGGTGAGTTCCCCTTTGCCCTCTTGCTTCTGGCGCTTCCCCCCCCCCCCCCCCAAGCTCCCGTGGCGCCAGGACGCTGGGCCGGGGAAAAGCACATCCTCGCGCCCCCTAGGAAGTCACTCTGGGCTAGGACACGAACTCCCGGGTGCGGCTAAGGGGTGCGAGGAGGCGGTGGTCCTGGGACCCAAACCGCCTCACCCCTATGTCTGGGTGTTCCGACTGGCCCCTTCTTCCCAGTAGGAGCGGAAGCCTTAAGGTTAGAGCGGGCTGGGATCCCCGGCTGGAAGTAACAATGCCCGTCAGAGGACCCGGACAAGAGGAGCCCAGGAGACCCCTCCGGATAAGCAGAAGTCCTGGAGAGGGGCCAGCGGTCTGCGCCGGGGAAGATGAAATCTACCAGCCCATCCTTGAACTTGATTTTTGTGAAATTGATCAGTTTCTGCCATAAAACTGTTATTCCCCATTGGTAAATACCACTACAACAGTGCAGCCAGTGAAACTGCCCATCCAGCACTTCTTCACCTAAGTGCAAACTTAGTTAGCCTCTCCCTCCGGCCCTGACTGTGGTCACCATCTCGGTTTCCCCACTTCCAATAAAGTCCCTTCTTTCTGGGCAGTGCACGCTATTTAATTTTGGGTCCTTTTTGTCTGGGGTGGGGCGGGAGTGCGGCGAGCGGGGGAGAAAGCCGCAGGAGGCGCTGACCGGAATGTGGAAAGCGGAATGCGCCCGTAACGCCCTATTCCTGGGCTGCCGGTCTCCTCTGTCCTGCCCGGGTCCTAATGCCCCCTGGCGGCGCGGGTGCAAACTGCGGCGTTCGGATCAATAACCTCACGCCCTCCTTTTCCAGGCTTTGTCAACATTTATTAGTACCAGCCGCGTGCCCCGCTCTGGGCGCTGGCTAGACAGAAATGATAAGAGGTTGTTCCTGCCCTTGGGATGTAAACAATAGCTACAAAAGAAAAAAGAGTGAGGGTACAAGCTTCTTAGCAGGGCACACAAGGCCATTTATAATCTGCCCAGACTGCAAACCTCACATGCCTGCTGCCCCAGGCAAATATTAAGGAGAGATGAGGTGTGCTTGAAAACAAATGCCTCATTTCAAAGGCTAGTAAGTGTTCCTCCTTAACAGCAGTGTTCCCAGTGAGTGAGTTAAGTGGTGCCAGAGCTTCTGCTTTCCAAAAGCAAGGGCAACCCAGCCTTTAAAAGAGAAATCTCCTAAACTTTAAATAATTGTGACTATTTAGAAAACTTTTAAAATGGGGGGGAGGTGCGCAGGAGGAGGCAGCAACACCTGTCTGCAATAGGGCTTGTGGTTATCAATTGGCAGACCCTCCTTAATTCTCTCCCAAGACAAGGGGTTCAAGGGCCCCTAGGATGGACTTTAAGAGGTTCTGTGAACACCCCAAGTTGTAAAATTGTATCTCTGCAGTCATATGTTTTTAAATAATTTTTTTGTTCCTTTATTGATTTTAGAGAGAGGAAGTGAGAGGGAGAGAGAGACAGAAACATTGATAGTTGCCTCCTGCATGCTCCCCAATGGGAATCAGGCCCACAACCTGGGCATGTGTCCTGACCAGGAATCCAGCCGAGGACCTCTTGGTGCATGGTTCCACGCTCAACTGGCCAGACTGTATTCTGTGGTTTCAGTATACCAGCTTCTTAGAGGTGCAGTGAGACTCAGAAATAGTTGAGACCCAGGAAACATTTTAGATCATTGTTTAAACTGGATTGGTCCAACTCTATACCCTGGGTCTACCAACAGGCTGGAACCTGCATAGGGACAACAAATGGCTAATGAAGAATGGAAGGATGCTTACTCATACAGCATTGCACCCCAACAGCAGCTCAGCTCAGCACCTGACATCATCATCAGCACACTGACCACATGCTTGACAGTGACTCTGGGAGGTCTGGAGAGAAAGGCAGGGAAGTCAGCATTGCCAAGGTGTAAATGGAAACACCCAGAGCTAGTTCTTAATTCCCAGGGCAGCTAAGAATTAAGCATGTAAAGAGTGGAAAGGTTGGCTTAAGGATAGACCTGGTTTCTCAAACTTTCCTGCAAGTTAAAATCACCTGAGGCACCCTTATGCTAAGGAAATCAGAATCTGAGGGAGGCATTGGCATCAGTAAAGCTTCCCAGGGCCTTCCAACATGGAGCCAGTTTGAGAGCCATGATGATGTGGGCTAGCAGTTCTGAAAATGTGCTGCATGGACCAGCAGCACCAGCATTGCTTGAGAACTTGTTAAAAATTAAGTCTTGGGCCCCATCCCAGACTTAATGATCAAAACCTCCATATGATTCTCCGGACACTAAAGCTGGAGAATCATGGGTGTTGACAGTTCTCCAGGAATAGGACCCAGGAAATCAAGCCTGTTTCCTTCCTCTCCCAGTACTGCCATCACCCACTGGAAACCTTTGGTCTTAAGAGGCCTGTAGATTTGTCTTATGGGAGACAGTCTAAGCTGCATATAGCTAGTCGGAATTGAAATGTACTAGAAGTGTAAAATAGCAGATTTCAAAGGTTTAGTACTAAAAAAAGGGGGGGTAGGGGGACATCTCAATAATTTCTTACATTGATCGTATGTTGAAATAATATTTTGGAGATACTGGGATTAAATTAAAATATCACTAAAATTAGTCTGACCTTTTTAAAAAAATGTGGCTACTAGAAAACTTGAAATTACATATATCTGACACTTTATGTATCTATTGAACCAGGCTAGTCTATACAGTTTTACAGTTGGGAGAAATCTCAGAGGAGCTACCTCAAATTAGTATTAGGGAGCTTCAGACACCCCTTGAATTCTTTTGGACCTGGACTGTGGACTAAAACATCCTTGATGTTGCCCTGGTCGGTTTGGCTCAGGTGTTAGAGCGTTTGCCCATGGACCAATGAGTTTCAGGTTCAATTTCTGTCAAGGGCACTACCTTGGTTGTGGTTCATCCCCTGGCCCTGGTCTGGGTCCAGCGGGAGGCAGCCAGTCGATATGTTCCTCTCAAGTCGATGTTTCCCTCTCTCTCCCTCCCTCCCACTCTAAAGATAAACAGAAAAATATCCTCCACTGGTGGTGTGGCTCAGTGATTGAGCATTGACATCTGGGTCAGGGCACATGCCCAAATTGTGGGTCAAATCCCCAGTGTGGGGCATGCAGGAGGTGGCCAATCTATATTCTTTCATGGATGTTTCTACCTCACCCTCTCCCTTCCTCTTTCTCTAAAATCAATAAAGAAAACAAAATATCCTCGAGTGAGGATTAAAAACACAAAATCCTTGATGCAATCAGAAATTGTCACCAAAAGCCTGATCCCTCCCAAGAACAAGAGTTTTGATTCACTTCACCCCTCACATCCGTTTGTGTCATCTGTAAACTGGGGCTTAAGGTAATACAAAGTGCCAGGGACTATACAAAGTGCGAGTGCTTTCATCAAAGCATAAAAGCAGGACTCTAGGTCTCTCCTCCGACTCTGAAAATGAGGGGGTGGAGGGGACCAAAAGGCATTCCTTAGTTTAAAGGGCATAACTTGCAGCTGAGTGATTCAAGGCCAGGAAGTATCCTCCTCACCTCGCAAGGGACCAGTTGAGCTCAGGACCCAGCTCAGGTCTAGCCAGGCTCCTGTACTTGCTCGCCGTAGCTTTGAACAGGTTCAACTGTCTCAATCCGGGTTTCCCCTCCAGTCCATGATTGAAGTAAGGCTTTGGAGATCCAAAGTTGTAGTTCTTTGCGGCTCTCCCATCCCGCCTGAGCCCAGGACACACCGCGGGGTACGGCGACCTGACCGGTTCTGCACCCAAAAGTTTGAAGAGGAAGATCTGACCTTGGCTCTTAGGAAACTAATCAGGGGCCCTTAGCCTGGGGCACGTCGGGAAATATGGTCTTTTAAAGTACAAAGAAATCACTTCCGGGTCGGAACATGTTAGTGGGCGTAACTCCAGGGTTCCTTCACATATACACACACACACCCGCCCCCAACGAGCATTGAATTTCCCGGCTACCCGAAACTTGCGGTTTTCTGGGTTCCGGTTGTTGACAGGCACCGTTACTTCCCTTTTTGCTTCCCGTACGCCTTTGCACATGCCCAGAGCTCTCGTCCTCTGGTCTACGGAACACTGGTGTATTGCAAAAACTACATTGCCCAGAAGACCGCGCGAGTGGGCGGGACTTCATCGCCCCAAGAGGAGGGACGCGGCGCTCCGAGTGAACGCAGAGTCTGTGATCTCTTTTCTTTCTTTTATTTAACACGAAACTCGTGTAATCCGCACGCGGGTATCCGCGGCAGGGCCAGACCCGGTGCAGCCCAACCTGCTCGGCCTGGCCCCTTTGAAGGTGAGACTGAGCTGCCCTTGGAGAACGAGTTAGCCCCTCCCTGCCCCCTTTCCTGGAGTTTGGAACTGTCAAGCTCCAGCTCCCACCCTCTCTGGTTCAAGACCCCTGAGGGGCCCACGCTGTGGGGACGGCCGCGCTCGGCGACCGGGCCGGGCCTGCCTGGCTCGTGAGGATTTGCACCAGCAGGTCGGTGGCTAGCATATGAGACGGCTCTTCGAAGCCGATGGTCAGCAGTTGCTGGTAGTCTCCAGACGGCTGCGGGCACAAAATCCTGCGGGCCAGGGACAGACAGGCCTGCACGTGAGCGCCCCCTGCTCCTCGGGAGCCTCTCCCCTCGGGTGAGAAGCTGTCGCTGAAAGAGGCTTAGTTTCAGCTCGGGGTGGGAAAAATCCTGGGGGAAAGTGGCTTCCTTGTTGATGAGAAACCTCGAGGGTACTAGTTCTGCGAGGCTGAACTACTTACCCCTGACCTGGCCAATCACTCAACTAGCTGTTGTGTGTCCTTGGGCAGGTAACTTAACCTCTCTGAACACTTGTTTCCTTCTTTGTAAAAATGTGCTAGTAGTATAGACCTCAGTGGGTTTTACATAAAGCAGATTTCAGGGCACAATACAATGCTATCATGATTACCAAGAGAAACAATGTTCGGGACGTAGATGGTCTTTGGTGGGGTTCTGCCCCTCCCCTCAGAGCCCACACCCACCTTGCCATGGCCCTAGCTCCTACCAAGAATAAAGGTCATCCTCGGCTGGTCCTAGGGGCACCCATCGACCGATGGACCACAGCTTCTGAATCTGGGGACAAGAATTGGCTGGACTCTTGCCTGTGTCTTCCCATGTATCCCGATAGCACAGGAAGTAGCTGAGAGGGGAAGAGGCAGCAATTAAAAGTGAGCAGTTTTCTAACTTCTGTTGAGGGCTTTAATTTTGAACGTGAGGTAGAAACTCAAAAGAAATTGCCTTCAAGTTCTCAGACAGGGATGTGACTCAATACTGAGGCCTTTTCTCTCTGCCAGGCTACTTTTAAGATGAAGACTTTTATTTTGATTGGGGAATGAATTTTTTTGAAGGTGAGGGTGGCCTTTCAAAGGTGCTTGGTTTCCTGCTTGACTTTCCACACTTAGGTGGTAGTGGTAGTTCAGAGGCCTGTATTGGCAATCTCCATAGAAAGGGTGAGGACTTTGATTCTGGTAAGGGGACTCACTAATCCACGTGAGAATCTTTCCCCTGGCTGCTGGGCTCTGGGGTAGTTTCCAGGTTCCAGCGCATCTTCTTATACAGGTACCGAGGAAAGCGGCTGATGGTGTAGGCAGCAGGGGCACAGTATCTGAAGATGGACACCTCGTGGGAAGGACTGATGGAGAACCTCCCGCAGAAGAAACAGGAAATGCTGGCAGGAGATGGGAGAGTGGGAAAGGAGGCTGTGCCTTAGACACCCTTCTCTCTCTACCCCCTACTATTCCCAGTCTTTCACTCTTTTACCTTAGGGGATCTGACTCTTCCAGGTCCACAAACCCAAAGGAGGCATACATAAGCACCAGCTGTTCCAGGCGCAGGGTCAGCTGTTGGGAGATCTCCAACAGCTGCATGGAAGAGGGGGGCATGATAAGATTAGCTGGCCTACCAGAAGCACCCTCACACCTTCCCCCTCCCCCAGGCCTGAGGGATGAAGGGTCATGGGGTATAGGAATTGGCCCCACACACCCCCTTTCGAACCAGCTCCTGCAGGGCTCCATAGATGGGCGGCATGCTCCGTGCAGCTGCCTCCAGGTACAGAAAGTAGGGCTCACACATCTTTAAGAAGGTGGGCATGGCCTTTGCCAGCTGTTCCTTCTGAACTCGGTCCCTGCTGAAGGGAGAAGATGGCCTTTGCCTGGGATCCTTTATACCTCCTCATTTCTCCCATTCTACTCACCTCCCACTTTTATCGCTGGTCTGGACCTCCATTACAATTCCCCCGCCAAGTGCCAGGCTTTGTCAGAGCATCTTCCAGGACAACCTGCATCACAACTATTTGGAACTTATAAAAATGCTGACACCTGAGTTCCATGACTGATTTTTTTTGATGCAAAATACTCTGCAGGTGGAGCCTAGAAAATGGGTTTAAACAGCCTTCCAGAATCAGTCCCTTTTTCCTTGGGCTGGGAATCACATTCTCCTTTTGGATCTCAAACTGATAGTCAGCAAGCCAAATCTGGGTCAGATAGGTTTTGTTTAGCCTGTCCAGGGTCCAAAACCTAAGCCATCAGTTAAAAACCAAAGAATTCACCCTGGCCGGTTTGGCTTAACGGTTGGAGCATCGGCCTGCGGACCCGAGAGTCCCGGGTTCAGTTCCTGCTAGGCCCTAGCGGCTAGGGGCACACACCAAAATAATAATAATAATAATAATAATAATAATAATGTCATCTCGGTGTTACACCCATTCAAGTCCTTTAGGCCCCTGCCCTGGTCCAGCACCTGGGCATCTGTCCTTAAAAAAAAACCAAAAAAAACAAAGAATCCTAGACATTTGGCAAACTGGTGCTCACATAAATAGTAGGTACTCCCTAACCACAAATGATACACAGCCCTCATCACTCTTCCAAATTGGATTCCTAATAAGCTAGCTTCATTCATTCATTGTCTCTAGCTCCTAATGCTTTTTTTTTAATGCTCACCCAAGGATATTTTTTTCATTGATTTCAGTTAGAGAAGGAAGGAGGGGGGGGAGGGGAGAGAGAGAGAGAGAGAGACATCATGTCACATCAGTTGGTTGCCTCCCAAACGACCCTGACGACCACCAGGGGTCAAACCCGCAATCGAGGTACCTGACGGGAATCGAACCCACGACTCTTTGGTCCGCGGGCAGATGCTCCCTCTAACCGCTGAGCCAAACGGGCCAGGGCGAGCTCCTAATGCTTTTAAGTTTGCGACTCTGGTGTGTTCTACCTGCTTATCCAGTCACCCTCTCCTCTGTTTCCTTATCCACCGGGATCCTGGGACCCTGTCCAGCATCACCTGTAGAGCAAGTAGCTTTGGAAATCATCCGCCTTTTTGAGCAGGTAGCGGAGCTGTTCTGTGACAGGGCTGAACAAGGTGTCCAAGGGTAGGCGAGGAGGTGTGGGCCCAGTGCCCGGGGTCCGAGGCTCTGGGGAAGGCGTAGAAGGGGAGGCTTCGGACAGTTGCCCCTGGACATCCTCCGGTTCCGCTTGGGCTGGGTCCGTCGACCAGGAGGGGTCTCCGCAGGGCTGTGCCCCAGGTTCCAAGTCGTTCTGGGGCAGCGTTTCTCCAGTGCCCGGGGAGAGCGGCCCCATGAACCACTGCTCCGTAGCCATCGTGGGGCTGGAAGAAGGGATCTGAGCTCTTTTAAGTCTCCACCGCTCCGGTTGGCCGCGGGTTCGACCCCGCCCCGGGAACCTCTGACTCGCCTGACTGGGAGCGCAGCCCAGTCAACCTCACCCCTGCCTCTCGACCGCTCTGCCAGGGTCGCACCGCGCGGAGCTCGCCTCGTTTGAATTTCAACACGCAGGAGGGACGCGCCGCTTGGGTCCGCTTGGGCGCGCGCTCCAGCAATCCAACGGAGATGGGGGTGGGGGGGCGACCTGGGCCAGCACTGGCGCGGCCATGTCTTTGGGGGGGGGGGAGCACTGCCTTTCTCTTGAGGCAGTTTCTTAGGGAAGAGGGGTCTCTGCAGCGCGTCCAAATCCTGGGGCGCAGTAATATAAAGGTAGACATCCGCCCCTACCAGCAGAGCCTCTGACGCCGGCCCCGGAATCTGTATTTTAAAAACTAATGGAGTTGAGAAGCTGCATTAGAACTTAGTAGGGACTTGTAATGTAGTAGCTGTTATTACTAATAAAGTTATCCACTTGTAAAAATTTCCCCATCCTATGAGCTCAGTTGATAACCCAATCCTTTGTTCCTTTTATGGAGTGAGGACCTTGTAGCTTGGAGATTCTGCCATGGACCCAGAACACATCCCTGCTCCCAAGTTCTTTGTAGTATGCAAAGGCTATCAGATATATACATATGAAGCCAAATATGTTAATTATACTTAAAGACTCTGGGTAAAATGCTCACAGGTGTTGGATCCCAACTTGTGTGACCCCTAAGCAAGTATTTTTGCTGTAGGGAGCCAGTTGCCTCATCTGTAAAGTGGGTTTTTTTTTTTATCCTCACCCGAGGACATTTTTTGTTCAGATAGAATGGGAGGGAGAGAAACATCGACGTGAAAGGGACACATCGAGTGGTTGCCACCCACATGACCCATTCAGGGCTGGGGACAAACTGCAACCGAGGTACCCGAGGTACGTGCCCCTAGCGGGAACCGAACCCAGGTCTCTCTGGACCGCAGGCCGACGCTCTAACCGCTGAACCAAACTGGCCAGGGCTGTAAAGTCGGTTTTTACATGCTCTGCCTCATGGGGCTGTGGAGAGAACCACCAAGGAAACGTGGCTCTGTGGCTGGGCGTCCACCCATGTACCAGGAAGTTGCCTGTTGGATTCCTGGTCAGGGCACATGCCCAGGTTGTGGGCCAAATCCCCAGTCGGGGGCCTGCAGGAGGCGGCCAATGTTCTCTCTTGTCTATGTTTCTCCCTCCCTCCCTCCCTCTCTCTCTAAAATCAATAAAGAAAAAAAAAAATTAAAAAAAAAAAGTAAAGCCAAGTTGACTTCTAGTCACTCAAATTGAACACTTACTGTGCTGGGACACTGTTCTGGGCATGGGGATATAATAGAACTAAGCAAATATTCCTGTCCTCTTGGAGCAATCACTATTACAGCAGACTGTGAGACATTCCCATTCACTACCAGTCTCCCTCCAAGAACAATTCAGTGCTAACCCAACTCCCAGAAGGCTGGTGTGGTTCAACGCCCCACCCTCACTCCATTGATAAAATGGGACTTCTGGCCTTTTTTCTTTTCTTTCTTTTTTTTTTTTAAAACTTTATTTAAAAAACCTTCGGTGCAATATTAAAAAGCAATACAGCCAGCTGGAGCAACAACCAACAGAAAAGGGAGGAGTAGGGAAGACCCACTGACCTCACCCCAGCTATTCCCAGGGGATAGAGGCTGGGGGCAGACCAAGGGGCCTGGTTGGTGGGGAAAAGAAAGGCCACCCACCAAAATGAACAGGCAGAACAAATCATTTATATAGGAAACATCTGGCTGAACTAAAGACCTAGGGGAGATGAGAAGTCCCCATTTCTTTTTCTTTTTCCAAAAAATGTCCTAGGCTGGGGGTGGGGGAGAGGACTAGCCTCTTGGGGTGAAATGAGCAGGCCCTGTCCCACCCCACACTCCTCCATCATGGAATTTGGAATATGCTGGAGGCCAGATGTGTGTGTGTGTTGGGGAGACACAGGGAAGATATGAGTAGGGAAGGGTGTCCCCTCATTGGAATCTGTTATGAGGGCTGAGTATGTCCCCGGTCCAGCTCCTGGACTCCAGGGGACTTGGGTGAGATGGGGCTGGAATTGGTTGGGGCAGGGGTCAGGCTGGGCACTCAGCCTAGAAAGCCATCAGGATCATCATCCTCAAAGTGGCCTTGTTGGAGCACCTTGATGTGGTGCTCGTAGATTTTCAGGGCTGGGCCAAGGCGGATAGACAGGCCAGTTAGCACATCTGTCCGCTGCATGAGCAGGAGAGACTTGCCATCAATTTCCTGGGTGGGACAGAGAGAGACAGAACAGTCAGAGCAGACCCCCACTGAGGCCCTGGAATAGACTAGGGAAGTTGACAGTTGGGGACTCACCTGTTCTTGGAAAGCTGTTGCCTGCTCAGGGAAGCCGGCCTCTGTGAAATATTCTACCACGTCCATCACTGTCCACTCCACAGGGTCAGTTGGCTTCTCTTTGCGCCCAGAACTGAATTGGAAAAAAAAGGAACCAGTAAGCAGTGATGTTACTCTGGTTGTTATACACCCATGGGCACTACCCTCTTATCTCAAAACCCCAACTTACGGACAGCCAAAGGGGTTTCCATCACCCCCAGGCAGGGCTGGTTTTCCTGGAGGCAAAGGCACCGGGGATGGGGAGTCTGGCCCAGTAGCAGCAGAGGCTGGGAATGAAAAAGCATCTGCCTGTTGCTTTGTTTTTGGGCTTGGTTCCTTCTCACCAGACATCCTCCCCTACACAGAGGAATCCTTACCTGATCCTCCTTCCTTATTCATGGCTGCCATAGAGAATACCTGGCGAGTGCCACTGCCTGGTGCTGGGCCCCGCCCTTCATCCTGGCCCTGGTGGAGTCCACAAGGTGTCCACTCCTTGACCCTCTCCTTGGCACTCTGAGGGCCCCGCTCGCCATTAAGCTGGTGGTGCTGGGCAACTGCAGGACGGTCACCCTCCAGTACCTCGGAGCCTTCAGACACATTGTCTTCATCATCTTCATCTTCATCATCATCATCTTCTTCTTCCTCTTCTTCCTTCTCAAGCAGTCGCTCTTCTCCACCTCTCTGATGCCAAGGAGAGAGCAGGTAAGGTTAGCAGCTATTCTGGCCCTGGGCCCAGTCCCTGGAATCCAGGTCCCAACAGTGTACCAATGACGACCTTTAACATCAACAGACTAACTTTTACATATTCGCTCCGTGCCAAGATGTGTGTTAATAAAGCTCTCAGTAGCCAAATCTCGCTCAACCCCAAGAGGTCGCTACTGTTAAGTCCCGTTTTACACCGGAGGAAACTGAGGCTCAGAAAGAATAGTCACTTACAAGGTCGCTACTCGATGAGTCCACAGGAAAGACTCGAAAAGCCCAAAACGTCCGGATCCTCCCAGGACTTGCACCCCCACCACTAACTTTGCCCGCACCTGCCCAACGTGCGGCGCCCTCCTTACCCGGCTCGCTCACCTTGCTCCGAGACGCACGGGCGCTGGCAGCCGGCAGCGCCCGTCCAGGCCTGTCCCCGCGGGACAGCGCGAGCGCTCCGAGACGGGTGCGCTCTAGGCGGCCTCGCGCCGCCGCCTCCTCCTCCAGCAGCCCCTGCACACGGCCACGGGTCAGGCGGCCACCAGCACCGCCACTGCCCCCGAGGTAGCGCACGACTTCCCGCAGGCTCACGGGCCGCGCAGGGCCGCCGGCCCGCGCCGCGCCCCCCTCCGGCGGCTGCTGTGGCTGCGGCGGTGGCGGCTGCTGCTGCTGCTGCTGCTGCTGCTGTGGCGGCGCCGGCGGCTGTGGCGGTGGTGGCAGTGGAGATTCCCGGGCAGCGACGGCAGGAGGGGGGGCGCGACGCGGGCCGGTCGGAGGCGCCACTGCCAAAGGAGCGGCGGGCGCCGGCGGCGGCGCGGACAGGGGCGCGGCCCGCTGCGCGCGGGGGCTCGGCTGCGCGGGGCCGGGCGAGGGGGGCGCTGTAGCGGCGGCGGCCGCACGGGGCGCCCGGGCCGGGGCGGCGGCGGCGACGGGCGCGGGCGGCGGCGGCGGGGCGGGCGTGGGCGGCGGCGCGGCGGTAGGGCCCCCGCGGGGGGCGCGCGGCGGAGCCGGCGGGGTGGCTCCGCGCCGGGGCGGCTGGACGCGCGCCGCGTTGCGGTACGAGATGCTCCCCTTGTAGCTGACCCGTAGAACGGCGCGCTGCTGGATCAGTTTCTCTAGCTCGGCGCGCGTGCGCTCCGGCTCCGGGCCGTGCCGCCGCCGCACCATCCGGCAGATGCGCTCCAGGTCCGGCCGCGCCTTGCGCGAGCGCAGCGAGTCGATGGTGTCTAGGATCCACTCTTGGTAGTGCGGGGAAGCAGCGGACGACGAGGCAGCGGCCGCTGTGGTGGCGGCCGCCGCCGTCTCCGGCGGGGGTAGGGCCGGGGGCCCCGCCATGCCTCCCGCCCGGCCCGGCTGCACCGTGCGCGCTGCCTCCCTCCCAGCGCGGCGCCCCCCTCCCCGGCTCCCCTCCCTCCGCCGCTGCCCGCCTCCTCCTCCACCCTCCCCCCCGGGGGGCGCAGCGCCTCGGCGGAGCGGCGGCGGCGCTGCTGTTTCTTTGCAAAAAAAAAAAAAAGCGAGAGAGAGAGAGAGAGAGAGGGAGAGAGAGAGAGAGGGAGAGGGAGAGGGAGAGAAAACAGTGAGAGAAAGAAAAGAGAGGAAAAAAAATATGCACACACTCACTCACTCGCACGCACGCACACACAGACCCGCTTCTGCTGGGCGCGCGCGGGGCCGGGGATGCGAGGAGGGAGGAGGGGAGCGCGGCGCGGCCGGCCCCTCCCCGCCGCCGCCGCCGCCGCCGCCGCCGCCGCCGCACGCGCGGCCTGCGCCCGGGACACTCCGACCCCCCTTCCTTCCCTCCCTCCCTCCACCCCGCCGCCCGCCTTCCTCCCTCCCACCCCCACGCGCCCGCTTTTAAGGTGGAGCCCGGGCCCCCCCGCCCGCCCCCTTTACCCTGAGCTCCGGCTCACTCCGGCTCGCTCCGAGCCCCCCCCTTACAACTCCCGCGCGCTTTTTAAGGAGGCGCCGCGGAGTTGGCGCCGGGGCGGGGGCGGGGGAAAGCAGCGGGCGGGGGAGGGGTAGGGGAGCGGGAGCGCCGGGGGGGAGGGGAGAGGGGGCGGGCAGGGCGGACGGGCGGCGCTCGGCCGCCCTCCAGCCATTGGGCGCGGGACCCAGACGTCCCCGGCGCCCAGCCCCCATCTCCACGCCTCCCAGGCGCGCTCCGCTCTCGGGACCGCACTTACCGGGAACTCGCCGCTCGCGGGCCGGGCTGCTGAGCTTGCTGGGCGCCGCGGGAACCTTCGAGCCGCTGTCACCCCAGTGGCTCTAGGGCACGCTTGGCCCTGCGCTGAGGCAGGGAGGGGGATGCGCACCGTCTCCCCAACCCTTGACCACCCTCAACCAGGCCCCCCTTCCCTCGCCCCACCCTGAAGCTCGGCCTCCTGCTCACTGCGGGCCCTGGAGTCTCCTTGGAGCTCCCTCTCGGCCTGGGGCTCTATGCAGAGAGGGGCGCGACGCAGACTTGTGGAACCCCGAATTCAGGGTTATAGGGTTGTTTGGCGCCCCCTTCTCTTGCAGGGCCTGGGGGGTGGGGTAGTGACGGAAGTCAGCTAAACCTGGTTTTACAAGGACTGCAGTCCAGGTCTTGATCAGCCTGGACATTGGGGTGCGAAATTCCCTTTCCAACCTCCCTTGGTGTGTGGTGGTGGTGGTGGTGGTGGTGGGTGGGGGCAGTTGACCAAAGTCGGGAACACCAGCAACACTTTTTTTTAAACAAAACTTTATTGGTAATAGTTTTCAAATATGTTTACAACAGCACACTGTTCAAGAGGAAGTCGCGTCCTTCCCAGCACACAGGTTGAATCACCCCTGCGCCCACCCGGGGCCGACCCCAGGCCTGAGAGCTCCTCCTGGGATTGGGGAGAAGTTGTGAGGGGCAGATTTGGGGTTGAGTAGGGGCTCCCCACTTTTCTATTACAGAAAAAAAGCACAAATGGGGGGGAAGAGGTGATAGCTGACAGCTATGCAGAGGAGCACCCAGGATGGGGGGGGGGCGGGCAGGGACTGTTGGGTGACTAAAACAGACAGCCCCTCCCCAGCAACCCTGGCCTTGAACCGGGACCACAGAGGGGGAAGGAGGGGCTTTGGTTGCCTTCCCAAACAGCTAAGAGGCTGGGCATTAAAATCTAGCTGAGAATAAAATTAAGGAATTTGGGGGAGTGCCACGGGGAAGAAAGACCCTGGGTTTGGGGCTCCCCCTCTATCTTTTTGTGGGGACAACTCCTCTTTGGCAGGGAGAGGGGCAGCTGCTTTGTCTGGGTCCCAAAGCCCAAGGGTGAAGAAAGGTCTGTTGGAGCAGAAGGGGGTACGGACTTTCTAAAGGGGCTGAGACCCTTCTAGACTTGGCAGGGGAGGGGGTAATTAGCAGCTTGGGGGAAGAGGTTGGAACCCCAGCTCTTTCCTTTACACATCAGTCTGCTTCCCAGCTTGTAAAAATGGATTTGGAGGGGGGGTGGGGTGGGAGTGGGTTTTACGAAGGTGGGAGGGAGGCACTGGTGGAACTTAAATAAGTTCGTAAATTGTTTTTTAAAAAATTCTAGCAAGTAGCCCACTGCACATGTCACTAAAATCTCTCCTTCCCAGGCAAGATTGCTTTGAAAGGAAGGTTGGCCATTCTTTTATTTTCCCTTAGCAAGTTTGCTGGTGGTTTGGTGAGGGAGGTGGGGAGGGAAGGGGGCTGGAGTTAAGTTTGGACCCCTCTTTCCACACCCTGTCCCTGGATACACTAGCAAGACCTGGTCTGACTAGAACTTAGATACTCCTTCAAAACAGGTAGAAGTGGGCTGGGATGGAGGAAGGCAAAAGCATTAGGGAGGGCAGGAGGCTGAAGGGGGTGGGGGGGAGCAGCTGGTGTTCCTGCCCCTCTGAATATCTGGGCTTCCTGCTCCCCTACCTGGAGGGTGGGGTGGGGGTGAAATTAGATGTAAGGAACTCTGGGGCCCTCTGGCTGTTCAATCCAACCCTCCCACCCACCCCCCACAAAAAAAGAAAGAAAACCCTTGGGGGCACAGGCACACCCCTAAAACTCAGAAAACTCCTTGCCACACTTCTCATTGATGGAGACTCGGATCTCTTCCTCTTCATAGTCGTCAAAGTTACTCGTGTCCCCAGGGCCTTTAAACTTTGGTATGAAGGGAGCTTCCACCTGGAGAGGGGTCAAAATTACCCAGACCTCAGCAGTCAACATAATCCTTGTTAAAACAATAAATACAAATGGCCTAACATTCATGAGATAACTTACTCAGACCCAGGCCTGAGCTTAGCATTCGGGTGTGGACTCACCTTAACAACCCAAGAATCTTATTATAGCCAACTCACCAATGGGGAAATGATTTTCCAGAGAGGGACATCTCCTCTGGAAGGCCCAAGGTCAGAGTAGCCAAGTGACCTTGTAATCCCATTTCTAGATCTCCACTGCTCTAAGCTGCCCCAGCTAGAATGACCCAGAGCCTGTTTTCAAATTATTTTTCCCTTTCTATCTCTCCACTGACAGCCCTCCCTGGCTCTTGACCTGCTCTCAGAGCCCTCAGTGTACCCAGGGAGGGGAGGGGGGACACATACCTTCCTCTGGTAGATGGCAATCCAGTCAGTCGTGGCAAACCACTTGTGGTTCTTGATGTCATTGACTCCATTCTTGAGGTTCCCAAAGCGCTTGGTGAGGTCCACCTGCAGGAGGTTCCGCAGCAGATCCTTCAGGTCAGAGCTGAAGTGGGATGGGAACCGCACCTGAGGGGAGGGGGAGGGGAAGGACACAGACAGGGTGGGAAACAGGTCTGGAGCTTGGGGACCCCAGCACACTGCCTTTGACATCTAACAGTCCTATGGGGCACAGGACCAACTTGAGTGTGTCAGAATCCCATTAGAACAGTGAATCAGTGTTGGTTTCTGATTCAGGTCTGGGAATGGGTCCTGAGAGTCAGCATTTCTAGCTAGTTCCCTGGCCATGCTGATGATGTGGGAGAGGGGAACACTTTGAGAACTGTTGCTCCAAGTTAAGTGTTATGATGGTTCCATTCTAGAGAAGAAAGTGAGGCTTAAAAGAGTTATACAGCTTGCCCAAGGTCACACAGATGAGCGGGACAGGGTAGCTCCCTCTTGGGTGTGTTAGACTCCAGACTTGCATTTTTATTTTATTTTTCAGACTTGCAATTTTAGCCATTATTTCCTAAGGTGGTTCTGCTCAGGTCTTGGGACTTCAGAAATATCCATGCTTTTGAGAGAAACAACTGTTTTTCTTTCTTTTTTTTTTTTTTTATCCTCACCTGAGGACATTTTTCCATTTTTTGTTCAGATAGAGTGGGAGGGAGAGAGAGGAAGAGAGAGAGAGAGAGAAACATCGACGTGAAAGGGACACATCGAGTGGCTGCCTCGAGTGGCTGCCACCTGCATGACCAACCAGGGCTGAGGTACATGCCCTTAGCGGGAACCGAACCAGGGTCTCTCTGGACTGCAGGCTGACGCTCTAACCGCTGAGCCAAACCGGCCAGGGCGAAACAACTGTTTTTCTATTTCTCTCTCTGGACAGCTAAGGCTCTTCCATTCTTTAAGGCTCAGTTCAAATCTCCCAGAAACTTTCACCAAATGCTCTGAACCCATGGTTTCATATGCAACTATTTATTGGATTTCCAACACTACTCTGCCTCTTACAGGCTGTGACCTTGGCCATGGCCTTTAACCTCTCTGGGCCTGTGCCTGCCTTTCCAGCATGGGACAGATATCCCAGGGTTGCATGAGGGAGATAATACTGCTGAGGGTGCGTGGGAACTGTGAAATGCTACAAAGAAGGCAGTTATGCTCTTCTCCTCTTCCCTCTTGGAACCTTCTATGGCTTTTTCTTTGTTTCCCACTTTGAGCCATTCTGTAGGCAATTTGTATTGTGCCTGGTGGCAGTCATCTCCTCTTTCCCTTTCCGACCCCACTTTGCATATGTGATTTCTCTCAACCTCTCTGAGAGGCAGGTGGCTGGTTCCTCAGTTCTCAGGTGCATAAGATGAGGCTCAGAGGGGGAAGGCACTTGCCCGTGGTTTCAAAGCCAAGGGGTGCCCAGCTGGTGTGGCTAAATGGTTAAAGGTCAACCCATGCACCAAGAGGTCGCTGATTAGATTCTTGGTCAGGGCACATGCCCAGGTTGTGGGCTAAATCCCCAGTGGGGGGCATGCAAGAGGTCGCCAATTGATGTTCTCTCTCATCGATGTTTCTATCTCTCTCTCCCTCTAAAATCGATATAGAGAAAAAAAAAAAAAAAGCCAAGGGATGGCAGAGCTGTTACCAGGAGTTAGTCAACCCACGCAGGCTGAGCTGGAAGTTACTTCCACCATTTCCTGGTCTGGATGGAGGGATGGTTGAATCCTCCCAGTGAGATGGGTGAGCTGAAGACAAAAGTGAGGTTCCCACCTCTCTCGGGCCCTTGGATCTTGGACCAGACATATCCCCTCTCCACACCTCAGCTTCCTTAGTCCCTCAGAGTTCTGGGTAGGACAGAGGGGGTGCACTGGGGCAGTGGGTGCTTAATGCACTCTGTAGATGCTAGGTCTAACAGTCCCCTTACCTGCACCCTCTGAGTTAGAATCTCTGCATTTGAGAAGAGGGGTATGGGCCATATACCCCAAATGACTGTCCAGTGGGGTCTAGGAACCAAATGCATTAGCTTTTCTGTGAAACTTGTGAAAAATTACATTAAGGGGGACAATTAGGAGTGAGTAGAGCCTCATATAGAGCAGGGTAGAAATACGGGTGAGGCTTGAGGTTTTGGAAGCCCTTAAGAGGCACTGTGGGTCCAGGAATAGTCAATGAGGTTGTGTGAGGTGTTGACCTCAGTTCGCATGGCAGATGCACCTAGCTTCACTGCCTGGCCTGACTTAATGAACTTCTGGATTGTTCTGACAAAGATGGTGGGTGGGAAGGGGTTTGTCCCAGGTGGAGCCCCTGCATCCAAGGCCTCACCTTCCCAGAAACAATCTTCTCGTAGATCTGAATGGGCTGGTCAGCAAAGAAGGGCGGGTAGCCGGCAGCCATCTCATAGATGAGAACCCCCAGGGCCCACCAGTCCACAGCCTTGTTGTAGCCCTGGAGCGAGAAGGGGGTGCAGGATGAGGGGAGAAGGGTGCAGAGGGGGCACAGACAAAGCAGGCCTCAGGAGCAGCCGGAGGGGTGGGGAGGCACCTACTTTGCTCAGAATGATTTCGGGGGCCAGGTATTCGGGGGTCCCGCATAAAGTCCAGGTGCGGCCTTTCACACGCTTTGCGAAACCGAAGTCTGTCACCTGTGGGCACAAGAGTGGGGCTGATGGAGAGCGAGGGAGAGAGGGTCCAGGCCACGGCCACCTGGGGTTGTCCCTTGCCTGGCCTGGTGGGTACCTGAATGTAGCCCTGCTGGTCGATGAGAAGGTTCTCCGGCTTCAGGTCCCGGTAAATGAGATCAAGCGAGTGCAGGTACTCAAAGGTCAGGACGATCTGGGCAGCATAGAAGCGGGCATGGGGCTCACTGGCAGGGACAAGTGGAGAGGGGATGGATGAGTGTGAGTGGCCACACCCAGCAGGACCCACTTGCCCCCAAATGGTCTTGCATGTGAATCTAGAGAGTGGCCTCCAGCCCAGCTATCCAAAATGTGTAAGAGGAGCAGCCTTATTCATATAGAGTTCCACACTGGAAGGAGCCCAGAAGTCCCTCAACAGAGGAATTGCGTCACAGATTGTGATAGATTCATACAGTGGAATCCTACACAACACTACCACCAGGACAAATGATGAATATGCTCAAAACTGTGGCTAGAACTCAAAACAATTAAATGAAGAGAAAGAAAAGGACAAAAGAATATGAACTGTGTGATGCCATTTATATCAAGTCCAAACCTAGACCAAACACATTCTATGGTGTTTAAAGCGAGAAGGGACAATTGCCTTTGTTGGGGTGGTGATCTGCATTTAAGGGAATTTTCTGGGGTGATGAAATGCTAAATACAGTGTTTTGGGAGGTGGTTACACAAATGTATGCAACAGTCAAAACTCATGGAATAGAACACCGAAGACCTGTGCATTTTATTGTATATAAAGTGCATAGCTATGTGAATAAAAAAATAAAATAGCATAAATTTTAAAACTTCATAAAATCATCAATTTAAAATGCGATACCTAAGTTACTATGTTTATTTTGTTTCATGGTGGTTGAAACATTGCAGATTCCTTAGTTCAGGGAAACCAAGAACTCACAGGGTACTGAAGAGGCCACCTGCACATCCCCAGATGGCTTGGTCATATGACACTGTGTGTGGACAACCCCAGGCCTGGTGTAGCTGGGGGCAGTCCACTCACCTGAACCTTCCGATCCTCCGCAGGTGTGAGAACATTTCCCCGCCGGGCACATACTCCATGACCATGTACAAGTTTGAGTTATCCTGTTGGGAGCAGCAGCTGATCAGGACCCTGCTCCCCAAGCCCTGGGCCCCACCTGAAGGCCTGGTGCCCTCAACCAGCAGGAGTTCAGAAATACAGTGACACCAATCTGGGCTCCTATATGAAGTACATAAGCACCAGGTACTGTGCTCAATGAGCTACCTGTCGCATTTCCCTCTGCCCATGAGGAAAAAGGGACAGCCACTATCCTACTTATAGGGAGTAGTGGTAAAAGGGAGGGCAGACTACAGGTGCCTGGGCTGGAGAGGGGGCTGGAGAGGGGACTCCACAGCAGCTTATGTCTGTGACTGTCCTGAGCAAGGTTCTTGGAACCAGGACAGGCTACAAAATTTGTGCCCCCCCTCCTCCACCAAATAAAAGTGTGAGTCTCCTTGCTAAAAAATGATTATGGATTTTTGAAGAGGGCATTAGTAGAGCATGACACCAAGCACAGTCCCTTGTGACTGCCTGGGTAGCAGGCCCAGAATGAACTTTCCCAACTCTTGAAGTCCAGCTTAGGATGGCACCCAAAGTAGCTCACACAGGGTGCTCATGATGTGTTTGGAACTGTCACTGCTACCTTTTGATTCCCAGTTTACAGATGAGGAAACTGAGCCTCAGGGCAGTGAAGTCCCTTGCCAGGGTCACATGGGCAGGTGCTGCTGAGCTGGGATTTGAACCCAGACTGTGTGTCAGGTTTTTGTAAATAGAGCAGTGATTTTGAGGGATGTCATCCAAGTTGAGTGACATGACCACCCAAGGTTATCAAGTAGAACAGATCCAGGAGTTGAACTTGGGTGTATCGGAACCCTAGGCTGACCCACCCCCCCATCAGTGGGCAACCTTCTAGGGTAGCCACTGAATGTCCTCAGCCCTCAGGCATGGTTTCCCTCTCTGCCCCCTCTATTCCCCAACGGCTGGGACCCACCACGGTGACCCTGGTCCCACCTTGAAGGAGAATTCAAGTTTGACAAGGAACGGGAAGTTGACAGCCTGCAGGATGCGCTTCTCATTCAGGGTGTGCTCGATCTGTTTCAGCTTCACCACCTGCGAGCGGGAAGAGGGTGGAGAGGAGGAGGCATGAGAGAGCCCTCATCCCCTGGTGCCTGGAAGTAGGGGTGTCAGGGCCGGGTCGGTTCTTGTGAATGCTTGTGGCCTAGGTGGGGTGCTAAGGACACAACAAGGCTGAGGCTTCCTGTCCAAAGGTGGCATGCAGTTCAGGACAAGAACACGAGTCACCAGGCCCCTCAGCCCAGAGGGATAAGAGCCGTGAAGGGGTTAGTTTGGGGCCTGAGGATGCCCAGATGAGCCATGGGGCTAAATCTGGGGCAGGAGTAGTCAGAGAAGGCTTTTTGGAGGAAGGGGCAGAGGAGCTGAACATGGAAAGACAAGCAAGAGTAGTGTCCAAGGAGTAGGGGGTTTACAAAAAACTTCTCTCCATCTAGAGCACCCACACACCTCCACCCGAATGCCAGGCTAATTCCTCCTCCGCCCTCAGCTAGCCCCAGAAGGCACCTTGTGCATAGTAATGGAGCTTTGAGGGGTATGTACTGTGAACACACCAGTTTGGAAGCCCAGAGAGGGGTAATGACTTGCCTAAGGTCAGAGGCATGCTAGTCAGCAGCCTGGCTGTTCAGTTACCTCTGAGCCCCTGTGCTAGGGCCTTTTCTGCTTTGCTCACAGCTGTATCATTTGTGTCTATACCTGCACTGCCCAATACCATCCATACTAGCCACATATGGCTGCTGTGCGCTTAAATGTGTCTGAGAGACTGGATAACAAAGTTTAAAATTTTAAATTTCTAAAGTGAAAATTTAAAAACTGACACTCCAGCCCAGCTGGTGTGGCTCACTGGTTGAGCATCAATCCATGCACCAAGAGGTTGCTGGTTTGATTCCAGTCAGGGAACATGGCCAGGTTGGGGGCCCAATCCCCAGTGGGTCCCATGCAGGAGGCGGCCAATCGATGTTCTCTCTCATTGATGTTTCTATCTCTCTCTCTCTTTCCCTTCCTCTCTCTAAAATCAATAAAGAAAAAATAAGTAAACAAACAAATAAATAAATAAAACCTGACACTCCATACAGTTACTGGACAACTTTTAAGCCTGTCTGGAACAACTTGGGTATGCCAATTTGCTTTTTCAACTTCTCTACTTTTTCTTGTCTTTCTAGTGAAAACGTACCATTAGTATGAGATATACTGTAAGTGTAAAATGCACACTGGATTTTGAAGACTTGGTATGTAAAAAAAGTATTTAAAATGTCTCATAAATGATATGGTTATATACATTAAAATGATAATATCGTAGATATGCTGACTTAATTACAACATATTGTTAAAATGCATTCCAGCCCGGCTGGTGTGGCTCAGTGGTTGAGCATCGACCCATGCACCAAGAGGTCATAGGTTCAATTCCCAGTCAGGGCACATGCCCAGATTGTGGGCCAAATCCCCAGTGGGGGCATGCAGGAGGCAGCCAATCGATGTTCTCTCTCATTGATGTTTCTGTCTCTCTCTACCTCACCCTTCCTCTCTCTCTCTCTAAAATCAATACAGAAAAAAATAAAATAAAATGCATTCCACCTGTTTCTTTTGTTTAATGGGGCTTCTAGAAAACTTAAAATCATACACGGTTTGTGTGACACTTCTACTGGATAGCACTGCTTTAGAGTAGTGCCTGGCATAAATAGGTGTCAAAAATATTTACAGAAAGCAGGCCCATGTAAATGCCACCTCCCTAAGGAAGACCTCCGGCTTTCTGGAATATAGGTTATGTGTCTGACCCTGTGCCCAGTGCCTGATCTCCCTTAGTGGTCAGCCTGGAGTGGAACCTCATGAAGGCAGCATGGTGCCCTTCTGGCCCTCAGGTCTGGCATATGATGGGGGCTCAAGAGGTAGTTGGTGAGTGCATGGATGGAAAGAGCACTCCAGGCAGCAGGTGGGACCAGGCCACATGGCAGAGATAAGCTCACCTTTTGTTTGTCCAGGATCTTCATGGCGAAGTGGTTCCCAGTCTCCTTGTGTTTCACCAGCATCACCCGCCCGAAGGAGCCTGTGCCGAGGGTCTTGATTCGTTCAAATTGATCCAAATGGGCTGTATTCTGTGGGTGGAGGGTTTGGGAGAATGCCTAGTCTTGCTTCCCCTTTTACTCTCAGCCATTCCTGTGGCTTGCTTGGCCAAGGTCTGAGGCATCCTCCCTGCCACCAGCAGAGGGAGCCCTGGGGAACAGGGGGAGTGATGGGGTGAGGACAGGGGGAGGAAAAACAAGATGGCGGAGGGCACATTCCTTGAGGTGAGTGGCAGAGGCTAGATCTAGCCCTGGACTGGGGCCCAGGAACTGCTGGCAGCTGGGGGGTGGTGTGTGGAGACCACCAGTTGTAGGAGGTGGTAGGGTGGGGGAGCCTGGCAGTGGGCAGTCAGGTGCCTCCATCTAGGAACTCCCATGGGTGTCTAGGCACCCTCACAGGGCCCTAAATCCTAGCCATGTCACAGGGATGAAGCTGGAAGACGGGGCCATCAGTTCACCCCTCCAGGGGCTCTGTACCCAGGGGGGCTTACCTGAGCAGGATTTTCCCATTTTTTAAGAAAATCTTCTTTGGCTTTGGCTAAGAACTCTTTCACTGGAAGGAAGAGAGGGGAGAGTTAAATGAAGACCCCATCTCATTGGGGCAGGCCAAGGGTATTCCTGGGGAGATGCCCATTTGTGGAAAGTGGGGTGCAGCTGTTTCAACCAGAGTCTGATCTTTTTTTCCCCCAGGACCTTTGGGTGCCCTGGCTGATCTGAGGGCAGATTGTGGGGAGCCCTGATCTGGGTTAGGGCCTGGGCCCCATCTACTACAGAGAGGTGGAATCCAGCCTCAGCTCTTCCAAAATTGGGTACAGGGCAACTTGGGGGTCACTCTCAGGGGGACAGAGGGCAACACCCAGGCCAGCCCACCCCCACTTGCCCCAGTTCTGACCGACATTCCACGGCCAGGGACAACGCCAGCTGAGGTATTTATAGCCTCAGGATTTGGCTGTTCCTCAGGCCCCTTCTCTGGGGAGGCCGGTCCAGGGTGGAGGCCTCTGGGGCTCGGGTAGCAGGCGCCCTTGGGGGGCTCAGCTGTCGCCTTGGTCCCCAGCTGGCCCTGTTCCTGCCTTTGCCAATTCATGGGCCAGGCTCTAGAGCTGATTAAAGAGAGGATTTGCTCCATGCCCACTCCCCAGGGTCCCCTCAATACCCCAAGAAAAATATCATCATCCAGCTAATACGGAAGGAAGACTTTCCAGCATGCAGACCCTGGACCTGCTGTTTTGTCTCCACTATCTCATTTAGTTAGCTCTCCAACTTTCCTTTTATCCTTCTGCCCATTTAACACTCCAGAAAACTGAGGCTTGAAAAGAGGCATTGTTGCCAGCGCCCTGAGGCAGCCCAGCAAATAAGTTAAGGGCCAGGACTCTGGGACTGAGATCAAGTTCAGATCCCAGCCTGGTCCCTGCTAAGCTGTGTAACCTTAGGCAACTGACATTACCTCTCTGGGCCTCAACTTTCCTCATCTGTAAAGTGGGGATAATAATAATAATGACTTGGCAGGGTGGTTGTGAGGACTGATTAAGTTAATCTTGGCAAACAGAGTTGGACAGTGACCTGCATGAGGTTCAATCCATACAATTGTTGACTATTAATTTTGCTTTCAAGTATTTTTAAAAATTAAGGTATAAAATACAGGGGATGATGCATTGAGCACTCAAACCTTAAATGTGTGACCTGACAGATTTGTACATTACAGACCTATTCTTGTGACTACCCCCGGGGTCAGGCATGCTGTTGTTCAGGGACCCTGCCTGTGTGCCAGCCCTGTGCTGAATGCTTCCTATGCTTGCGTCCTACCCTGATGGCTCAGAGTTGCTATTACTCTTATTGTATAGAAGAGAAGACTGACCGGGCCTGAGGTCACCTGCCAGACCCCATTGCTCATGGAATTAATTGCTTCACTCCAGACAGGTAGCAGTGCACTAGGATGGCCCACAGACAGACCTGTCCTCGACCCCCTGATGTTCCTGGACAGTTGCCACCCTGAGGGGTCCTACACACTTGCACTTTGGCCTTACCTATCATCTATGTGTCCCACCCATATGCAGTATTAGAGTCCCACCACAGCTTCTGGGTAGACACCACTCCCCCACTGTCCCCAAGGCTCTCCCTCAGCATTCAAACAGAAGAACCTTCCACGGGGCTACAAGAGCAGCAGACAGAGGAAAGACCATTGGTCAGGAAAACCTTACAAAGAGTGACCGCGCAGAGGAAGGGCAGTCAAGGAATGGTTAGGAGTCCTAGGCTGGTTTCTGGCTGGGCTACTAATGGTCTGAGAGACCTTTCTGAATCTGGGGACAGTACCATATCCAATGCTTTCACCAGCAGAATCTTTTCAGATACATACCACCCTCCTTGGATACCTCTAATGTATACATTAAATTCTGAATGAAGGTGGGGGAGATAGTAACCTCTTGGAACTCTACCTTCACAGGAAGGTAGGGAGAAGTGGGCTTTTGAGGAACCCAGAATGCCTAGTCTTGCTTCCTCTTTTACTCTCAGCCATCCCTAAGAACCACCATGTCCTGCTTTTCTGATTTTGAGTGCCTTGGTCCTAGCACAGCCCTTCTCTGTCCCCTCTGGTGCCATTGGCTTGCCAGATTCGGGGATAGGGCACAAGGGAGTGGCAGTGCCAGGAGGAACAGGCAGATAAAGAGGAATAATGATGTGGGGGCCCCGAGCCAGGAGCCCCCATAACTCACCTCTGCTTCCTGCCTCCTCCAGCAGAGGGTGCAATGGGGGTGGAGTCGGATGGAGTGATCTGGGGCCCCTCTGCCCCTGAGCAAGGAGGCTCAGGGTGCTGACTGTGGCTTAGGTGCCCAGAGGGTGTGGTGCAGGTAGTTCAAGAAACGAATAGTCAGGTGAGCCCAGAGGAGCAGCTGCAGCCATAGCTGGAAGGTGGTCTCCGAGTCCCCACCCTGGCCATTGCCTGAACCCAGATCCATCCCAGGCTACCCTGGGAACCACAAATATACAGAGCTTCTGAGCTGGCTTCCTTGGTAGGGTCTCAGGGGACCCTGGAGGAGGAGCTGGTTGTCAGGGAAGCATTTAAAGGTACCTGCTCCTGGTTGGCCAAGGTTTGCAAAGGCCCTTCTTGGCAGAAGGCAGTGGGAAGATTCTCCCTAGGATGGCCCTCCTGGCTAGCCTGCCTGCCCCAGGGGTGAAGTGCTAAAGCTAACTTCCCATTCCAGGGACTTCACTGCTTCTAGGATGCCAGTTCCTGCTTCCCCAAGTGGGCAGACTACCCACAGGATGGTACCTGATGTGCCCAGGGCAGTGCCCACTGGGCAGAGAAGGAGTTAAGGGCTTTGGCCCAGGCAGCAGCCAGGGACTCCCTGGGGGCTAAAGAGGCCCCAGAGCTCCATTAATTAGCAGAAAGAGCAGCTGGAGATAACAGCGGGGGTGGGGGGTTAGGAGAGGGTTGGGGGTGCAAGAGCCACCCTATCACCTCCCCAAATCCTGCTTCTCCGAGAGAGAAATGGGTACATCTGGCTTTCTCTTGTTCCTATGCAGGGGCGGAGAGTGGAACAGCAACCTGGGATGTCCTTGGCCTCTGTCAAACCTTGCCCTGTGCTTGGCTCTGCTCTAGGCCGTGAAAGTCCAAACCGGAAACAAAAAGCTAAACCCAGGGGTGGGGGAGGGAGAGGCTGCCTTGACCATCTTCCTCCTTCTTTCCAGATCCCAAAAGAAGTGGAGTGTCAGTGGTAGCTTATCTCAGAGTACCTAGCACCTGTGGCCCTTCTGACAACTGGAAGTGGCAGAGAAAGGAAACCCAGCCAGGTGCTGACTTGTGAAACCTGCTCCCCTGCCCATGTCTTCCATGGGGGTGGGGAGTGGGGTGGGATGTGTGTACCAGCCTTCATCCTGGTCTGGATTCTATTTGGGCTCATAAAGAGAACCCCAGATACCCTTCAAAAAGCCAGGACTACAGCAGGAAGCAGGAGCTCAGTCTCAGACTCCCTAAACAAATCTTAGTACTCTCTCCCCACTGAAACTTGGTTGTCCCAAGAATTCTGCGGTAGGGATGCAAAGCCTGGGCTGGGACCTCTACTCTGGGCTGGTTGATTCCTCTAGTCTAGCTTGGATCACCTGCTTTGAACTGGAACCCTCCCCACCTCCAGTCTGAGCTTGACCCCAACACTGGACTATACCAACCCCATTCTGAACTGGAACTCTATTCTGGACTGGGTGATCCCTCAGTCTGAGCTGGACCCCCAGCAATGGGCAGGAACACTCCACAGTCTGATGAATCCCAATTCTGTACTGGACCATCTGACCTGGACTCCATCTGAACATCCCCATTCTGACCTGGACTCCATCACTGAGCTGGACCAACCCCTATTCTGAGCTGAACCCCAATACTGGGCTAGACTACCCCACTGCCCTGCTCTGAACTGGACTGCTGCTCTGGGTGGACCATACTCCCTCGTCTGAACTGGGCCTACCACCTACCCTCCTATTTCCCAGGCCTCCAGCTCAGGGTTGTAAGGGAGGGGTTTCCAGGGCCAACCAGAAGTACAAAGCCTTTTTCTCTCTGCCTGTTCCCCAAACCCTACTGCAGCTCCTCCTTGACTTCAGGGGCAGGGTGCCTGGAGAGTTGCTATAGCAACAGGGTTAAGCCTCACCATCGTTGAAGTTGGAAGCCATCACTCAGTCTTCCTCTCAGGGCACTAGAACTATGGTGGCTGGGAAGGCTCAAGAGACCTGCTGCACCAGGTTGGAAGTCCATCCCTAGATACCTGCCTACAGGGGGAGCCAGGGAGTTGTGGGGGTGCTGGCAGGAAGAGAAACCTAACCTGGGCCAGTGGGTGCAGGGGAGGGGCAGAGAGGATCCTCAAGTTTCTGTAGGCCTGACTAGACTAAGGGAAAAAGCCACCTTGACAAGACCCTCTTGGGCACCCATACAACTGCCAATACATAGGTGTTTGACCCTTTTGTATTTCTGTAGCATGTTAGAAGGCAACAATTCTTTCCATCCTGGGACTTCTGGGGGGGCACTTCTTACTCTCAGTGCCTGGATCTGCTTGTCCCTAGGGTCTAGGGGTGGTAGAGTGGGGGCTCCCTCTCACCAGCCCTACCCTTTGCCCTGTGGGCCAGTTCTCAGGGGTGCTTTTGGCCAGTGCCAGCCAAGGCCTGAGCCCCACTTGGCTGCCTATCCCAGGAGCCTCTTGGGGCCAATGCCCTCTCTCAATTTCTCTAGCTTGCTCAGAGCCGGGTCCTAGGTTTTTTTTTTCTCTGCCCTCTTAGCATCTTGCCCAGGCCCCAGCTAATGGCTTTACATCTTTGGGTACAGATTTTCCCCACCTCACCCCACCCCAGGGCTTGCTCTAGATAGATCCCTGCTCTCTTGGGAGGAGGCTGACACTGTACTGCTCTGGCACCAGACAGTAGCACAGGGGGCTGCAGGATGCCTAACTAGTGCCTCCCTCCGTATGGCTGGCGTCTGGCAGATGAAATTCAGGTGCCCCCTGCAGGCTGGCCTGGCTACTGCCCCTAACTCCCACCCCACCCATCCTAGTTAAGGAGAGGTCAAATTTTGTCTAACTCCATCCTTTCAGAATCAGAGTTCCAAGCAAAGTGGGGCTTCCTTCCTTATCCTATTTCCTTCTCTGAGAGCCCCTGCAAGTCTCTGGAAGGAAGTACAGCTTAGGGCATTCCCCAATGTGTGACATGGGTCCCCTTGGCAGGGCATGAAATAATTTTAGGGATATTTCATTTTTCTAGTCACATGGACCCCCATTTCAATGTGTAGCAGAGAGACTATAACTGGCATAGCAATCCCATGATTTCATTTATATTACTGCTTAGGATGGATCAAAGTTTACATCAGAACAAAAGTAAGTCGACATTTTTATTATTTTAAATTAAGAAAATATAAGTGACTAGAGGAAAAATCATGGCAGTAACTTGAGAATGTCTGGGTTGGGAAATTCTGGGTTCCAGGAAGTTGGCTGGTAGGCAGATCTGGATGTGAATCCTGCCTCTGTGACATCATCCATATCAAACTCAGAGAGTCATTTAGAAAATTTGGAAAATAGACCATTATGAAAATCACTCGAGCAGCTAGATCTATGGAAACCACTTAGTCTGGCATATCCTAGATGCCCAATAAATAGTGACCCTACTTCACCATGATGGTCCATTCCTGGGTGTCCGCCCCGCGCTCTAAGAGATTTAGTGGTTCCTTCCAGAGCCTCCAATCTTTTACCCTGTACAGCCCCCCCCCCCCCTCGCATGTGTTTGATATGCCTTGAAAGTTTTCCAGGACTAGGTCATCTCTCCAACTTTCAACTGAGCCACTGCAATATATAGCTGCCTGCCTCCACCTTCTACCTCCCAGGCCTCACCTGCTGGGGGTCCAGCCCCTCCCTCTGTGCCTAGTCTCCTCCAAGCTCATGCCCAGACTTTTTTTGGTCACTACCCACCTGCTCCTCTGTCATCAAGTACTCCGCTACAGGCACTTGTCTCCGTAAACCCCGCCCATTGGTGACATGTCAGCCCTCCCCATGGCTGTTCAACGACTCAGTTCTGCCATTTGAATCCATGTGAGAATAAAGTTTCTTTGGCTTTCATATCAGGGTCTTTCTGGGAGGGGGCATTCAGGGGACTCAGACTCTGGGGTTGGAGACCAGTAACTGGGAAAGGTAAATTTGGATGTGCCCTCCCTTTTCAGCTCTGACTATGTCTGGGTAATGGGAAGTAGATATCAACTGAGGTCCAGTTTTAGGCCTGGAGTGATGACAATTTAAGAGATGCAGGAATTGAAAAAGGGGATCGACACCATTTCTGAAGGCATTTACAGATACAGAATCTCTTTCTCTGGTTGGCTGGAAAAGACCAACATAATTTGGAGGCTGAGGGGGAACAAGCCTGTTTCTGGCTGAGCCCTGGAAATAATCAGAATCTGTCTCTTGGCAAAGCAGGTCATTAGTTGTCACCCATTACTCTCCCCAACTGCCATCCCTTGGGTCCCCTTTCTCACCATTCTAGCTCAAGCTGAATGAGCCTTGTTAACTCAGACATCTTCATCACCCACTTTTCATCCTGAGCCAGGAGCGGGTGAAGAAGACCGGGGGCTGGGTGAATGATGGAGCCTCAATTGTGAAACAACAATTTATTATTGAAGGACCCTCTAAGGAGCCTAGAGCTCAGTGCATAGTAGGATATGGAAAGGGGCTCTGTTGCTGCCCCCTAACCCCAACCTGGGAAGGAGAAAGAAAGTAACTCAGCAAGACTGGCTCAGACTTGACTTTGGACACACGGAAGCAGTTCTCTAGGTTCATAAACAGTCTGCTACCCCAGCCAGGGACAAACACTTGCTGGGAGGAAAGCGCACAAGCAGAGTGGCAGAGTGACAGGGTGAGAGAGGGGCACAGGGACTCAGAAAGATCCTGTCCACCAAGCCAAGTAACACAGAAGGGGAAAAACAACGCTGGAGGTGGCTCTGGGAAAAGCTCAAGTGGGCAGAGTGGGTTTGGAGGGGGACTGTGGTAAAGTGAAGAGGAAAAGGGCAGGAGAAAGATGGCAGGAGCTGATGGGGGAGGGGTGTGGTCACCAAGGTCCCTATGGGATGGAGGCAGACCCCACAGCACTCCCAGTAGAAGCCTGGGTCAGAGTCTGGTTGTGGGTCCCATCTATGGGAGAGGTGAGTGAGGAAGTGAGAGAATTAGAATCTGGGGAGAGGGTCCAGGAAAGTAGGGAGTGGGGTGGTGACAGGGCCCCATGTGGGGCCCCAGCGGTCATACGTGCCATAGTTGGCAGTGACAGCTGGGTGGGGGGGCACAGTTTTTGCAGTAGGGGAAGGTCTTTGGCAAGGGGGCTCTTACGAAGGGTCTTCTGAGTGCCTTGAGGCCTTACCTTGGACAAGCAGGGGGAGGGGGCATAGAGGGGTAAGCAAAGAGAAATGTGGGGGGGCACGTGGGGGAGGGGCCAGGCGGTGATGGACAGGGCGGAGGCTGACAGCGCGGGTCCGGGATTGAGGTCATGGCCTGAGCACTCACCACTCTCCTGCTCGCTGCCCTTCTTGGCGGCGGCGGCGTTGCCCATCGCGGCGGCGGCGGCCGGGGCCGGTCCCGGAGCTGCGGCGGCGGGTGCTGGCTGTGGCCGGCGGCCCCGGAGCGCGCTGGGCGGCGGCGGCGGCGGCGGCGGCAGCGGCCCCTCGGGTTGCTGCGCTGGCTGCGGCGCCGCGACCCCCGCCAAGCCCCTGCTTCCCGCGTCTCTGCGCGCCCGCCCGCCCGGGAACCTCAGCCCAAGTCCGCTGCTGCTGTCTGTCTGTGACGCTCCCGCAGCCCACGCTCATTGGTCCAGGACGCCCTGACTGACGGCACCACGCTGCCACCTATTGGTCCTCTGCGACCCTCCAGCGCCTCTATTGGTTCCAGCCCCGTGACGCGCTCCGTGGATGCCCGGCCACTCGCGAGCTCGCGAGGCGCCTGATTGGCTGAGGTTCGCGACAGGGGCCCGGGCTTGCCCAGAGAGGCCGCCAATTGGCCGAGGCGCGAGGTCCGGCCAGTCCCCGGCAGAACGATCAGTGTCAATCCCGGGGTGAGAGGGCGGGGCGGAGGCGCAGCTTGCTGCCGGAGCTGGCCCGGCTAGGCGGCCGGAGCTGGCGGGAGGCCGCGCCGCGCTCGGAGGATCAGGAGGCGGTCCAGGCGGGCGCACGCCCGGCCCGGTGCACGCCGCAGTCCCCCGCCCCCGCTCAGTGCGGCAGCGGCCGCGGGCCAGCCGAGGTTGGCTCCGCGGTCCCCTTACCCCGGCGCAGTCGCTGTCCACCTGCCAGCGGGGGAGGGGCGCGGCGATGCCGCGGGTCAGAGGTCGCCGGCCGTCGTCATTCATAAGGCCTGGCGCAGGATAACCCAGCAGGCCAGTTGGGCTGGGCTCCTGGAGGAGGCAGGTCCTCCGGAGCAAGGAGCGGTTGGGAGGGGGCCCTCAGTGTCAGTCCTGTTCCTGGTATCCACACTGGGTTCCTGCGACTCATTATTTCTCACCACAGCCTTGTCACGCAGGTACTATCATTACTCCCATTATACAGATGAAAGATCTGGGGCAGAGTCAGGCTTAAGATTACCTTTGGGGAATGCAGAGGGAATCTGTCTTCAGGGTGCCCTTTTATACACACAGAGACTGAGGGTGATCAGGGTTTCCCACTGCCACACTACTGACACTTAGGGCCTGATCACTTTACTGGGAGGACTGTCTTGTGCACTATAGTACATCCCGTTTCTCTACCCACTGGACGCCAGTAGGACCTCCTCCTCCACCGGAAATGACAACTAAAACCACCTGGACATTGATTGCTGAATGTGCCCTGGGGAGCAAACACCCCCCCCCACCCCGTTTAGAGCCACTTAGGCAGAAGAAAACCCAAACAAGAGGTGGTCAGAGGGGCAGGGGACTGGATGAGCCAGCTCTCCTTGCCTTGGAGGGGTTTAGGGGGTCTTAGGTCTACAAGCCAGCTGACTCACTGCTCTTCCTATAGATTTGTACACCCTGCACCCTACCCAGCTGCTGTCTGCACCCATGCTCCTAGGTCGACCATAGTCTCAGGGAAGGAAGAGTTGGGGCTCGTATGTGAATTATGGGGAAATGGCTCTCCAGCCAAACTACTCTAGCTCTGGCTGTGAAGTTACAAAGAAAGGTTAAATAAAATTTAATGAAAGTGTTGCTGTGTCCTTGGAATACAATGTTAATTTCTTCCTGTGGGTCAAGGTCAACGTCTGGGGGGAAAAAATCACTGGTTATGCTCTACAACAGCTGCATTGCTTAAGTTTCAACAAATAAAATCCCTTCCTGAATCTCAGTCTGGATTACAACTATACAACCAATTAGAACTAGAACAAAAAGCTGAACAAGGAGCTAAGGGGCAGTCAACCCAATGGTCAGCACAAGAGGACCTCCACCCTATGTTCCAAGGAAAGATGGACACCCAAGACAAAAGCAGAAACAATCAGTATAAATGAAATGCATTTTTAGACCAACCAAACATATTTAATATAAAAACCCTTTAATATACAAACTAATCACCAACAGCATCCACATAGCAGCAAAGGGATGGGGAATGTGGCAGAGTATGGTGGGGGAGGGAGGTTTTCAGGGCCCCTACTGTTCATGCCTACAATCACTCTGTAGCCTGTGAGAGCATGAGGTCTTAGCAGAGGGCAGATCAGCCAGAGGCAGAGGGGCCCTGATACCAACAGACAAGAGCCCAGCAGGCCGCTCCAACATGCCATCTCCCCACAGTGGCAGCCTCCAGGGAAATCCAGGTCCAGTTAGGAGGTAATAAGAAGGTGGTTGTGATTGAGAGGAGAGTCAACCATCATTCCTCAGCATCCTGCTTATCACACTTTTGGGAACAGAGTTTTCCAGGGGCTGCTAGATTGAAAAGACCTAAAAATTGTTCTGAGAAAAGGACAGAAATTTTGTCCAAGTCTACCTTCTAACCCAAATTCCTTGTGACTCCAGAAAACTGGGTTGATCTATTCAGATGTTTGGGAAGGGAAAGGAATGACAGAGCCTTTGGCCCAAGAGGGCCTGAACCATTGACCAAGAAAGCCTCAAGGTAGGCCAAGGAGGTCTGTGGGAAGAGCTGTGGGTCAATGGTACTTATATGGGAGCATGGTGACACAATGACCTATGTGTGGAAGAGAGAAAGGACGTAAGTTAGAATTAAGAACTGAAGTACCTGCTTTTTAAAGGCCTGGGCAGTAAAGGTGAGATAATCCTTCTGGGCTGAGGCTGGGAGAGACCTGAGGCCTGTTCCTCCCTTAGGGACAAGTTTGACAGGCCTGAATGTAGTTGATGGCCCCAAAGTCTTCCAGATGGCCCCCACAGGACTCTCCAGGAGGCCCGAATGCCCCACCCCCAGATGTGTCAGGAGACTGGCTGTAGTCTTAGCTGGGCCCAGGTAGGGCCTAGAGTCCCCCAGCTAGATGCAGTCCATGGAGTTCTCGGGGAGGAGGCCAGGGATGCAACCAGGGAGCCCCAAACCCTTGACAGGGGTACAGTTGATGGGGAGGCTGCAGCTTAGGGCAGGATCCTGGTTCTCTATGGCCTCCAGCCTATCCGTGTTGTTGTCCCAGTTGATGTGGAAACGGGTCACCCGGGGATTCGAGGCCAAGATGTTCCGTTGGAGCTGGGGCAGGAAGAAAAACGTCAACTTTCAGCATGCCCTCTCATTATTCCCACAAAGCTAGGGCACCCCCAGTTCACCCCCCAAGGCCCATGAAGAGCCGACCTTGCTTATTCCATCACCAACAATATGTGTGAGACTCCAGGGAATGCCTGTGCACCATGATTTAGGGCCAGGACCTATCTAATCTTAATTCTGTGAGGCATGCTTCTGAGAAAAAAGACCTCTCTCACTGAGTATTACTTGAAAACTTTAAGTGACCTTAGCTCCCAAATCCAATAACTCAACTCCCCCAAAATGCAAAGGAGCTAGCTGATCTAGAACTGGAAGTGTAGAAAGACCCCACCTGAGAGAAGTCTGGCTTTGGGGGTGGGTTCTCCCGCAACTCTGGGTCAGGGTACTCATTGTTGACATAGTAGCCCACACGGATGAACTCCTGTCCATGGTAGGTGCAGGTGATGAGGACCACAGTCACACCAATGGCATCACTCTCAGGGATGAGGGATGGGTTGGGGGCATCGGCCTAGGGAAAACACATCCTGGGCCTTAGCACCAACTGCTCTGAGTTCAGTGTTAATGAATCAACAATAATACTAACAGGTATTTAAACACACCAAAACAAGGTTATGTATTGACTAGATGACTTAAATGTGACACGCTGGAACCTAACCCTGTATTTCCTGTGGGGCCATGGTTCAGTATTCACTATCTCACTGTTCACAGCAGCTTTACAGAATGTAACTCCTGTGACTAATGAAGATCAACTGTGAATCAATGGTTTATGGTAACAGTCACCACACAGAGGTGGAGGAAAGGGAGGTATTTCAAGTACCTTTGAGAGATCAGACAGTTCTTAAGCAGAATGAGGATTTGAACCTGAACTTTTGACCACTAAACTATGCTGTGCGCTTTTGGGTAGAAGAGGATGTTTCTATGTATGAAGGCCTAAAGCCTCCTTTCTTACCTGAAAGATGAACATGTGTCTCCCTGCTGGGACAGGGCCGACCAGCACCGAGTCTAGGATTTGATCAAACTCCTCACTCTCAGCTGAGCCGACATAAATGATCTTCCATTCCAAGTCTGCAAGGACATAGGGTGTTAAAGAATTGAAATAAATTGACATCAAGAAGGCAGGAAAAGGGTCTTCACATGTTAGTTTTGGACAGATCCTTAATATGGTAAAACTCTTATGCTCAATAACACTTGACACTCACTCTGGGTACTAAGTACCAGGCACTGTAGTCCTAAATACTGGGGTGGGCAGGAAGCTCTTCCAATGGGAGTGGGAAATTTCTCCGGTGGGCCTAGCTTTGCCAGGCGACCTTGACTACGCATCTCAGGGAAACTCGGACCTCTCAAAGCCACAGGGCAAACCGTATGGCAGAGGCTGAATTAAGAGCCACGTGATGGAGGCGTGCTGAGGAGGGAACAGCAGGGAGTTGGGCCATTTCAGGGCCCTGCCCACTGGGTACTGGGATAGGAAGCAGCATCCTCTTTCACACACAGGGACTGGTGCCACCAAACTGAGTAGATCCCTCGACAACTGGGGCAGGGTGGCAGATTCCAATACAGCAGGACAGCCAGCCGGCATGAGAGGGAAGATGAGGCTGCTGGAGGAGTCAGCCAGTCCCCAGGTCTTCCAGATCCAGTACCAAGTCATGCCTGTTTATGGCCACTGTTGATGGCTCAATCAAAAAATGTGGCATCATAGGTGATCCTCTAACCCCAACTCTCTTGCACTTGATCCAGTAGAGGGGACCTCATCCCTGAGGATGTTCTGGCAAGATGAAAGAAAAAGTGCTTAAGGAGATCGTGCTCATCAATCACAGGAAATTCCCAGTGACCACTACCTCTTGCAAGAGGTCCAAGTGTATCAGGGGCAAGGTCACATTAGTACAGGGAAGCTTGGCAGGAGACCTGAAACTTATTTTAGGTTCTCTGAAATTACACAACCTACCACTCCAGCAACTGGGGAAGTTTCACAAGCTGTGATTTTCACAGGAAGCAAACGCTCTTGGAAGCTGCCCTATTCCTTGGTCCAGTGTCCTGCAAGTGCATCCAACTTCAGAAGCACACTGATGCTGGGCCATAGCTATGAAGGTTGGTCACCTAAGCCCCAAGTTCCTCTTCGATACACTGGCTTCCTGTCCCTTTGCAGTTCCACCCAAGTCTACTCAGGGACCAAGCAGGTTTGAGATACAGTGTGACACCCCCACTTCGAAGGGGTCACTGGGGTTCATACTCTAGTATCTTTATTATTTGCAGGGAGGATTAAGTTTATTGATTTATTTTTGCTACAAGTAGTTACATGACTAGACATAACATGTTTGGAACAAACAGAAAACCAGCTAGCTGTTCTCACCTTTCTCACACAGGTCTAGATTTTGGTTATCTTTTCTCCTGGCCTCTCCCCCATCACCAGTTGGAATAACACATGTGTGCATTTAACTAATGTGCTGGGGATGGAGAAGATAAAAAGGAGACTGAAAGCAGATTCAGGGCACACCACGGGCACATTATGTTTAATACTGTTAGCAAAACCTAAACAAAGACTGTGTGGGTGCTGACAGGAAAACACACTACATGGGTGGCCAGGCAAGTGGGTCAGAGTGGATCCCTCAATACTGGAGAAATTGCCCTGGCTAGTTTGGCTCAGTGGTTAGAGCGTCGACCTGCATCCCGAGAGGCCCAGGTTCGGTTCCCGCTAAGGGCACATACCTCGGTTGCAGTTTGTCCCCGGCCCTGGTTGGTCGTACGGGTGGCAGCCACTCGATGTGTCCCTTTCACATCAATGTTTCTCTCTCTCTCTCTCTCTGTTTCTGTCTCTCCCTCCCACTCTACCAGAACAAAAAAGGAAAAATGTCCTCGGGTGAGGATAAAAACAAAAAACAAAAAAATGCTGGAGAAATTAACCAGAGAATTAACAGGGGGTCAGAGAAATGACGACTCAGGAGTTGGAGCTAACAAAAACATCTACAGAAGACAAAAGATAAGGACCTACTATTGGAATCGTCTTAAAGTTGAAGTGTTTTAAGCTGAAGTATACTTAAGTGGCTTCATTTTTTAACATAACCCTCTTTAGAATTAGATATGGGATATCAGTCACCAATACAGCACAAACTCACTCCTATCGAATACAGGACACAATTTTTCTTCTTTTTTTTTCTTGGTATGTGCCCCTAGCAGGAACCGAACCCAGGACTCTCTGGTCCACAGGCCAACGCTCCAACTGCTGAGCCAAACCACCAGGGATACAGGACACGATTTTATACATCACATGTGTATTTAATCTTTGGGGCAATTTCAAAGACAACTGCATTACATTTTGTCTTTATAACCTAACTTTATGATCTAACCACTACACAAGATGCTCCTCCACTATTTTTTTTTTTAATCCTCACCCAAGGACAGTTCTCCATTCTTTGCTTAGATAGAGTGGGAGAGGGAGAGAGAGAAACATCGATGTGAAAGGGACACATCAAGTGGCTGCCACCCACACGACCAACCAGGGCCAGGGACAAACTGCAACCAAGGTACATGCCCTTAGCGGGAACCGAACCTGGGTCTCTCTGGACCGCAGGCTGATGCTCTAACAGCTGAGCCAAACCGGCCAGGGCAGCTATTTTATTTTTAATTTCTTTTTTCCCTTTATTGATTTTAGAGAGAGAGAGGAAGTGAAAGAGAGATAGAAACATCAATGTGAGAGAACATCAACTGGCTGCCTCCTGCATGCTGCCCACTGGGGATTGGGCCCACAACCTGGGCATGTGTCCCGACTAGTAATCAAACCGGTGACCTCTTGGTGCATGGGTTGACGTTCAACCACTGAACCACACTGGCCAGACTCCTCCACTATTTATGAAAACAAAACCAAAACCAACAGCATAATAAAACACATAAAGTCCTGGCTGGTTTTCTCAGTGGTTAGAGCGTCGGCCTGCGGACCAATGAGTCGTGGGTTCAATTCTAGTCAAGGGCATATACATCAGTTGCAGTTCATCCTGGCCCTGGTCGGGGCTGTGCAGGAGGCAACCGGTCAAAGTGTCTTTCTCACATTGATGTTTCTCTCTCTCCCTCCCTCCCACTCTATCTGTAGATAAAATGGAAAAAAATTTCCTTGGGTGAGGATTAAAAAAGAAAAAGAAAAAGACGTAAAATATTATTGTAGTTGAAATAGCTGAGGGACCTGTTTCCTGCCATTTAAAAAACTTATCTAGTAGGCTTTTTTCAGTTTATCATTTTATTTTTGTTCATAATCATACAGATGAACCTTGGCCTGACCACAGCAGTGGGTCTAAACATCTGGTCCCATGACTTATTCAAGCAGTGCCTGTTGAATTTCTCAACTAAAGGGGGTGGGGGTGGGGGTGGGGAGATGTCAAACCTAATATGCTAAATGTGGACCCACATTTTGGAAGCATCTATTTCCTGATGCTTAGAAGAAAATAAAGCAAAAGGGGCTTGGAGCCCTTGGGAAATGAGGTCAGCTGACTGGCTGTGGTTTAGGTGTCTTGTCAGATCTGCAGTTGCTAGTGTCGAGGTAACAAGACTGAGATTACTCCAGGATCTGAGACTTCTAAAGCCAGGCCCATTCCATCTTTTGGGAGACAGGGAGGAATCAAATTCTCTGTTCTGTGGGAAGAGACAGAAAGCAAGCTGACAGGTTAGAGCTATGGAGTGCCTTAAGGGGAAGAACCAGAGTCTGGATTTCCAGGTTAGAGTTTGCTTTTCAATTTGAGTTTCTCTGAGCAAAAGCTTTATTGTCCAAAATTAATAATAGTACTCCCTTCACTCTCTTTTGAGAGTCCTAATGTGGAAATAAATTATATGATCAGTTCTATTTATGTCCTACTTCTAAAACAGAAGATGCATTCTTTCTTTCCTTCCCAGGTTTCAGCAAAGATAAACAACATTGAACTCAGAACGAGCCCTAATGTCAATAATTATACCAATCAGCTGTGTGACCTTGGAGAAGTCATTGTTTCTATTAAAATATAATGACCAGCAGATTGACTCTGTACCTCAACTATGATGTTATAAATAGATTAGTAAATTAACAGGGCAGGGGTTTCCTAGGATAAAAGTACTAGATAATGACCACACACCCACTTTTACATGCAAGGAGTATAAACAGGGTGATTGAAACCTGATCTCTTGCCATCTGGGAACTGTGAATTCTTTAATCTATTAGCCCTTTACATCTCCTCCTGGCTTCAAAATTAAATCTTATTCTACAGTGACATTCTACACTTAATTTACTTATAACCTGCTTTGTTAGAGAAAGGATTTAACTGGATTCACTCTATAGTTAGCCACAGTAGACCACATAATTTAAAAAGAGAAACCAGAGAGAAACTGATCCATTGGTCCAGCCCAAGCACACAAACATCTCCGATTGTATCAACCCTAAACTAATCCAGTGGCTGGCTTTGCAAGCAAACTACCCAACTACCACCTAGAGGTGCTTGTTTGGTATGCCCGGACCTCATAGATCTTTACCTCCTCAGCTTCTGTCTCTTTTCTTTTCAACTGCCAGAGAAGTGGTCTGATGGAGTACAGTCACACTTCAGAGGTACTGTGGGTTTAGTTCCAACCCACAACAATAAAGTAAGTAGTGATCCTTTTGCTGGTAAGAATCTTACCTTAAATTTGTAAAAAACTCAACATCTGTGAAGTGCAATAAAATGAAAGCATTTACTCCTGAAAGTGGTGCCAAGACTCCCTGGATGACTTCAGATTTTTTTTTTTTTTTTTTTTATAGACCTTTCCTTGAAAGGTCTTTCATTCTTTGTGGCTTCCTCCTTCTCATCTGTGAGATGAGAGCCATGTCTACCTTTATGTCACACAGATGAATAAGCACATCTGTGAAAGCACCTTGGAAAAGATGCCCAAAAGGTTGTGACCTCCCAGCTGATTGTTTGAAGCTGAAAACCAACATGATTTAGCCTAGCCCAGCCCACCTAACCAGACTAGGTCAGACCATCAGAAGTGCTAAAAGAGCCCAGTTGGTGTGGCTTAGTGGCTGAGCAATGATCCATACACCAAGAGGTCACTGGTTCGATTCCCGGTCAGGGCATATGCCCAGGTTGTGGGCCAAATCCCCAGTGTGGGGCATGCAGGAGGTGACCAACTGATGTTCTTGCTCATCGACGTTTCTCTCTCCCTCTCCCTTCCTCTCTCTCTCTCAAATAAATACAGACAAAAAAAAAAGTGCTAAAAGAATTTTTGCAGTAGGTCAGCTGGAACCTGGTGGGCAAACAGTGGGAAATGGCTAATGCTTGCCTAACTAGCCCACTCTTCAAATTTGAGTGTATTCGTCAAAGCCGATAGTCAGGGAAGAGAGAAGAATGGAAGCTGGGGAAAGTAAGTTCCTCAAAGACTGGAGCTGGAAGCCAGGCCATACCTCCCCAGGTGGAGCTCAAGAGTATAAGGTTGGGGCCAGGATAAGGAGGAGGGAAGCCAGGTTCTATGGTATATGCTTTGGGGTAGAAAACAAGTGGGTGGTATTGTTTAAATAGCAAGTTGGGGAGGAGATTATTGTGTGAAAAGTGGGGAGATGGGGATGAGTGAGGTCTTGCCATGGGGCCAGGGACCTTCTTCACAGGGAAAAAGGGTAACAGGACGGTTTCACTGGGAGAACTGGGAGAGAGGCCTCCACAGGGGAACTGGCAAAATGGGAGGGGGCTGAGGACTGGAGTCTCCCTAGGAAAAAAGTGAGATGGGAGTGGCTCGCCAGAGAGGGGATGATGAGTGAAGAAGACTGAATGGCCGTAACGTTAAAATAAAAACTGCTATACAGAAATAGAAGATGGGGTGGCTGAGGGTCTCCGCAGGTTAAAGAATGGCGGCTGAGAAGGTCTCCACATAGAAACGGGAGCCCAGGAGCTCCATAGGAAAGTGTGTTTGGGCGGGGATGATGAGGTCTCCACCGTGGGAAATGAGAGAACCCGTGCGGAAAGGGTCGGGTTGGCAGTGGGGTAGAGTGGGAGGTAGCCTCTACGCGGAGGTTGGGCTGGCAAGGAGGGAGGGGGGTTAGATCATGATCTGGGGGTTATTTCACCGGGTAGGAAGTTGGCCGCGAGGGTCTTTACAGGAAAGTCGGGTTGGCAAGGGAACGCGGGGAGGGGGCAGTGTCCCCGCAGGCCTAGCCTCACCGTCCGCCAGAGCTTCATTGCACTCGAAGCTGATCTCGAACCGGAAGGGGCTGTGGAAAGGGCTCGGATTCTCCAGCACCGCCACGTTCAGCACCGACACCTTGGCCATCGCCTCGCCGGGCGCGGTTGAGTTGGGGCCGAGCCCACGTCTGGGTCCTGTAGGGTCAGCGGGACTGCGTTGCCCACGGAACCTCCCACCTCCTCTGTCCGCGGACTGAAGTGCGCATACGGTCCGCGCGCCTCCTTCAAATAGCAGGCCGCACCCCCCGACCAATCACCGTAAACGCTCCCCGGCTGCGTAAGCACTCCGTTAGCCAATCCTGGAGAGCCGGGCTGCGCGCGCCGAGAGTTCCCGGACCAATCAGCAGAGCTCCCTCTCCGGCTGTGCAGGGGAGGCGGGACCACGCCTTGGCTTCTTTGGGTATCCGCGGGGAACCAATTTCCAGCGTCTCAGACTCAGATATCGCAGGCGGGGGTAGGCTGAGTCAGAGCGCGGGGCTCCTGTCGACCAATCCTGAGGGTTCCCGCACCGGCGCGGCCCGCCCTTCGGCCTAGCCCTTCCGGGAGACTCAATCCAAGGGGAGCAGGACCGCCAACGGCCGAGCGGTGGCGCGCGGCGCTCGCTTAAGAGGGCGGGGAGGGCGGTGCTCGAATCTGCGGTGATTGGCAGGTGATAATAGGGCGGTGCTAAAGCAGATTCTCTGAGAGCTTATTGGTTGGATTAGTCCCAGGGGGCGGGAGGAGAAGGAGGCTTGGCTGGGGATTCGTGGGAAAGAAGCGGAAATCGGCCGCCGGCGCGATTGAATTGGGTGTGAAGGGGAAGGAGGAGTGTTTGCAGCTTCGGCATTTGCAGAAGGTGAGCGTTACCCGGAGTTTCTCTGGCCCTTCAGGCCCAGCGGCCACGGAGTCTGTTGTGAACGATGTGACCATTTGACTCACCTCTGAGGGGAGACGGAGCGGCGGTAACGCGGCGCCGGGGCCCGGGCTCTGGCTGTCGGGCCTGGTTCGAATCCCGCCCTCTCCTCCTCGAGGGCCGCTGGGAGGTGTGTCAGGTGGACAACGCTCTATGTAGGAGTTCGAGGCCGGCCTCTGCTACTCAACTCCCAAGGCTACGTTTCCCCGCTCAGTTAACGGGGCCGTGAAAACACACTGACGTAATTCGTGACTGCATAATACAACTAGGAACTTCTCTCCAAAGTTGCCTCCAGCCAGGAAGACCCCAGGCACCTCCGCACCCACTCTCTCTGCTCCCCCGTTTGACCAGTGGAAAAATAACTCAAGCCACATACTTAATTTTAAATTTGTCTATTAACTACGTTTTAAAAAGTAAAAACAAAAGGTTTAAAAATAATTTTTTTTCTTTATTGATTTTTAGAGAGAGAGGAAGGGAAAGAGAGAGAGAGAGATAGAAACATTGATGAGAGAGAACATCGACTGGCTGCCTCCTGCACACCCCCACTGGGGATCAGGCCCACAACCTGGGCATGTGCCCCGACCCAGAATCGAACTGGCGACCTCTTGGTGTGTGGGTTGATGCTCAACCACTGAGCAACACCGGCTAGGCTGCATATTGGTTTTTAAATTGAAATGTTATTTGATTAAAATTAAGTGACATGGAAAGTTGTGTTTCACAGTGGCAGTAGCTATATTCAGGTGGTCATGAGCCCCTATGGCAAGTGGCTACTGTATTATTGGACAGTGCAGGTCAAATATCAGATTAGTCACTCTCCTGCTTATGATGTGAGTGATGTATTTTTTCTCAGGATGATAACACAATAGCCTCCCCCCCCCCCACACACACACACGCCTCCATCTACTGCTTCAATTTTCATAGTTTCAGTTACCTGCCTCATCCTTGGTCCAAAAATACTAAATGGAAAATTCCAAAAATAATTCATATGTTTTAAACTGTGAAATTGTGCACTGTTCTGAGTATCATGATGAAAAATGAAATCTTGCACTAGCTAGTGCTGTCTGGGAGGTGAATCATCCCTTTGTCTAGCACAGTGATTTTCAACCAATGTGCTGCAAGGATTTTTAAAACATGCAATAGGTGTCCTGGCCAGTGTGGCTCAACTGAGCATTGCCCCATGCACCGAAGGGTTGCCGATTCAATCCCAGTCAGGGTGTGTGTGCGAGGCAACAGATGGATGTTTCATTCTCACATTCATGTTTCTGTCTCTTTCTCTCTCAAATCAATACAAACATAAAAAACAAAGAAAGAAAAACATGTAATATCTATTTAGTCAGGAGCACTGACCTCTTTTCCCTTGTAAAATAAAAATATGGTAACAGCCAATAAAATAGCTGTCTGGTGTGAATGAATCGAAATTACACCTGTATATCTTTTTTATCAGATTGACAAAAAATATATTTTTTGGTGTGCCGAAGTATTTTAGTAATTAGTTTGTGTGCCATGAGATGAAAATGTTGAAAATCACTGATGCAGCATATCAGAGAGAGACCCCCATGTCCACATAAACTTTTATTACAGTAATTGCTATAATTGTTCTATTTTATTATAAGTTATTATTAATTTCTGACTGTACCTAATTTAGAAATTAAACCTTATCACTGGCATGCATGTATAGGAAATAACAGTGTGTATAAAGTTTGATACTATTCACAGTTTTAGGCATCCACTGGGATCTTGGAACTATTCTCCTCCTGTATTGTCTTTAAGACTCTACATGCTTTGTTAACTACAACCCACAAACCCCAACTTCAGTCCAGCCAAATTGACCCTCTCTTTGTCCCTTAAAAATCTGAAAAGGCACTCCCAGCACAGAGCCTCTAACTAGATTATCTTGTCACAGTTCTTTTTTTTTTTAAATCCACACCCAAAGACATTTTTTTTTTTTTTTTTGCATTTATCTTCAGATAGAGCAGGAGGGGGAGAGGGAGGTAGAGAGAGAGAGAAACATCCACATGAGAGAGACACATGGAACTGTTGCCACCCACACGACCCCAACCCGGGCTGGGGAAAAACTGCAACCGAGGTATGTGTCTTTAGCGGGAACCGAACCTGGGACGCTGAAGTCTGTGGACCAACGCTCTAACCGCTGAGCCTAACTGGCTAGGGCTCTTGTCCCAGTTCTTGGTAGATTATCTTCTCTCAGTTTTTGGGATAGCTGATGCCTTCTTGTCATTTATGTTTCTCTGTTTAAATGTCCTCTCCTCAAGAGAAACCTTTCCAAGGGTCCCCTGGACAGTGTTCATACTCAGTGCAAGTCTAAATAGCACTGATCCAAGCTACTAGCATTTCTTTTCAATTTTTATTAATTTATTTTTGTTACAGATACTTCTCCTGCCCCCCCCCCCCCGACACCCTCCTCCTAATCCCTCCCCCCACAGCATTGTTGTTTATGTCCACTGGTTACACACACGTGCATATAAATTCTTTGGTTTATCTCATCCTTCTCCCCCAACCCCTTCCTTTGAGGTTTGTCCGTCTGAACCGTACCCCTTTCTATGTCTCTGGGTCAATTTTGTTCATTATATTTCACAAATAAGTGAGATCATGTATTTGTCTTTCTCTGATTGCCTTATTTTGCTTAGCATAATGCTCTCCAGGACCTTCCATGTTGTCTCAAAGGATAAGAGATCTCTCTTTCTTATAGCTGCATAGTGTGCCATTGTGTATATGTACCACAGATTTTTAACCACTCATCTATTGATGGACACTTGGGCTGTTTCCAGATCTTAGCGATCGTAAATAGTGCTGCTATGAACATAGGGGTACATATATTCTTTCTGATTGGTGTTTCAGGCTTCTTAGGGTATATTCCTAGAAGTGGGATCACTGGGTCAAATGGCAGATCATTTTTTAATTTTTTGAAGAAACACCATATTGTTTTCCATAGGGGCTGCACCAGTCTGCATTCCCAACAGCAGTGTACTAGAGTTCCCCTTTCTCCACACCCTCACCATCACTTGTTAGATAATTTGTTGATGGCAGCCATTCTGACAGGTGTGAGGTGATACCTCATTGTTGTTTTAATTTGCATCTCTCTAATGATTAGTGATGTTGAGCATTTTTGATATATCTCTTGGCCATTTCTATGTCCTTTTTTAGAGAGGTGTCTATTTAGGTCCTTGCTGATTTTTATTTATTTATTTGTTTATTTATTTATTTATTTATTTATTTATTTATTTATTTATTATTTTTTATATTTTTGGTACATGCCCCTAGTGGGAACTTAACCTGGGACTCTGGTCCGCAGGCTGATGATGCTTCAACTGCTGAGCCAAACTGTTCTCTGCCGATTTTTAAATTGGGTTCTTTGTCTTCCTTTTGTTGAGTTGTATGAGTACTCTTTATATTTTATAAATTAACCCCTTATTTGATGAATCATTGTCAGATATGCTCTCCCATATAGTGGGTCCCCTTTCCAGTTTGATGGTTGTTTCTTTTGCTGTGCAGAAGCTTTTTAGTTTGATGTAGCCCCATGTGTTAATTTTTCCTTTGTTTCTTTTGACTTAGGCAGATGCTTGCTGGCTGTTAATGAGCCTCAATTTACATTTTTCTGGCCTGGCTGGGTGGTGTTAAATTCCTGAGGGAGGGGGCTCTTTGAGTAATATGGCTACTGACCTATGAGAGAGTTATTCAGCACAAAACTCCCATTGCCCTCCCAGCTCCTGAGCCTCCACATCGTTCCAGTCCATCCAGTCCACCCTCCCTCTGCTGGAGCCCCAGGTGAATGGCTGTAGCTAATTTAGTGCTCTGTCCTGTGGAGCTGACTTGGGATGTTAACCCAGAGTGAGCTGCTCACAGCTAAAACTGCTGCTGTCCATGGGCTCCCAGCCTACCCTCTGTGCCTCCACAATTCCTGCCAGGCTTAATTTAGTGTCCTTTTTCTGTCCCTGGTTATATGGGTCCTTTCCAGCTGCTTTTCTGTTGCCTTTCCTGATGATTTGTCTTTATTTTAATTGTAATTTCAGTTTGGTCCTGGGAGATGATCTGTGTAGCTTCCATTCACTCTAACGCCATTTTGGAATCTCTCTCTTTCTCTTTTTTTATTTTATTTATTTATTTTGTATTCTTCCATATTTTGTTCAGATAGAGTGGGAGGGAGAGAGAGAGAAGAACATTGACGTGAAAGAGACACATCGAGTGGTTGCCACCCGCACGACCCAACCAGGGCGAGGGACAAACTGCAACTGAGGTACATGCCCTTATTGGGAACCGAACCCGGGTCTCACTGGACTGCAGGCCGACGCTCTAACTGCCGAGCCAAACCGGCCA